AATTAGAGTATCCCTTGGTGACGGCGATCTAGACCAGAGATATCGCTTGAATATTCCAAAGATCAACAATATCCGTTCTCACAAAAACCTGGAGAAAGGGGCTACAAATGCAGGCAGGAATTCAGGAACCTCGAAGCTCCCTGAGCGATGATATCACTGCCTGACCTGTGCAACTGACTGCGTGCGCCACACCTTTGGGTGCACAGCCACCGCTACTTCCTTCTGTCAAGGATCTACTTTGCTAGACTATGATTGGCGGGTTGCTCGCCAGCACCTCAAATGCATGTTATGCTTTCACTAATGTATGAGCATTGATATGGAATTCTGATCTATCATCTGCCTATTGTAAGCACTATCTCTGCCCCTCGCTTCCGACAGCGTTGAATCGGATTCCAGTAAATTACTTATTTACCGTTGTCAGTTACCTGAATCAAATGTTTCTTGGCAACTCTATGTGCTGATGTTGCTCTTACTTTCGAATGTATTATATAGAAGCCAACCAGCACTGTATCAGTCAGAAAGTGATAATATATTCTGGAAAGTCTCATGAAACCGCCAACATGGAGTAGTCGCGTGATTAGGGATACTATCATCTGAGTCTGGTTCGAGCTGCACCATGGTATAAAAATGGCACTAATATATATATTTACAACCCCTCTCCTTAGCTAGACAGCCAATGATAATAGTTTTAGATACCCATAAGTCTCGCTCACTATCATTAGAGCAGAGGGACTCTACTTTCTGGAGGTGAACCATTTGATTTATAAAAGTCCCGCGCAGAATGTCAATTACTGGTATAGACCTGAAAAGTTGGGACATGATCAATTCATTTTGCGTTCATCCAATCTCCACTTCTTATCACATCCGCCAGGGCATCTTTGGCTATGTCTTGAACAATTTTCTCCAGAGGTAACCGGAGGAGGTGGGTTTAGCGTTGCTATTCTTGTCCATGTTCTTGTGTGTCCTAGCTGACAAGACTCCGTTGGCCGATGATCCTGAATCTTGGGGAGTGGGGGGTTATGACTACCTTTCGTTGAGGTCGAGAATACATGGGGATTCAATGCAAGTTAGAACGAGGGACGGATCAAGGCAGACTCTCTATACCAGTATGAGGCTCGACTCCCGTGAATACTACTAGTACGGTCGGATGAGTTGCTGTTCAACTGCCATTGGGCGATATACTTAGCTTGAGTTATCCTACATTTATACTGTTCTGACTGGAAGCACCTAGTAAAAGGAGGATGCCAACAGAGGATATGGCCGCGGATAATTCGAAAATTAATACGAAGAGTCCAATCAAAAGTTACTTCGATATGAAACAAAGCACCGTAAACTTTTACTTCAATGCGGATTCGGCAGTCGGGCTGCAGGATCAATGATCATAACTGTGCTTGTGGGTTTAACTTGCTGGGCAACTACTTTTGACGGGTAATGTGAAACACAAACTAGGAACAATTGTTCTATAGGTTGTAGAATATGATGAGATAGCCAAGAATATAAAATAGTAGTATACAATATACTTTTAACATCAATCCCCCAAGGCGTCACCGGTGTCTTGTGTGATCTCTTTGAACCGCTCTCGACATTCTTCCCTGTCTTCTGTGCTGCCCTCAAATACGTCAAAGACAAGACACTTCTTAGCATGAACTAAATCTAACCATTTTGCATAACGCCCTCGATGGAACTCTACAGTACCATCTTTCAACGTTTCTGGCTTGGGGTATGATATCCAAACTCGGCCGAGGCCGGGAAGATCAGCGACTTCAGCGCAAAGAATGGTCCATGACAGCAACTCTCGCTCTCGAATAAAAGATTGAGAGAGTAAAGAGGCAGGACAAAGCTGAACTTGCCGAATATTGTTTCTCGCGAATTGCGACAGTCGATCTTTCAGGTACATGAATGAGGTGAGATTCGATGAGGTTGAGAATATGATCTTCGCGTATAGAACCGGGAGGGCTTCACAGTATATCTGTTGGTTTGTCTGAAGCAAGGCTGCTGGCAAAGGTGTGGAAGGCATGCGAGTGTACCTGAGATCTCGAATAGGTCGTTCGTTTGGGTCATCTGTGTTTATTATCGGACGACTTGCACGCCTGTCACGGTCAACAGTGACGAGTATATGGCTGCCGGTAGTAGCGAAGGCAAACTGGTAGATAAGCAAACGAACCTCGCTTGGAAGATCCAGGAAGCTCGGTAATACAGTGTGCTTATACTTGGGTGTCTGGCGAAATAACTTGAGAATTTTTGAAAGTGCCTTCCTGCGAAATTTTACCTTGGAAGTGGTCAGTTTGTTTTTCATGGTATGCAAAAGCGCACTGTTGAAGCAAAAGCAGAGGAATAGTATTGCGGTTAGGTAAGTTTACTTTGTGTGCCGCGAAGTTTCCCTGGAAAATGAACTGGCTTGCAAAGTACAGAGTATTATAGTATAATGCAAAGTGAGGGCGGCACTGGCTATAGTTGTAATAGCCTTATAGACCGCAAGACGCGTACTCATGGAGCCCTGCTCGTTAACCCAACCGAGGAAATGGCTGTGAGGATCATCTGCAATTTGGGCCGAAAGTCCTGGCTGATTGGAGCTGCACGCAGTCGGCCTCCTGAAATAGTCCCTGTCCAGTGATTTTATTACGTTTCATTTAGTCTCAACTGTAACCCATAAAGTTGCTCCGAATAGAAAAAGAAAAAGAAAAAGAAAAAAAAAAAACGAAGGAATAATTACCGATCATGCTTCTAGCTATCAGCAAAGCTATTACGATTATGCTAACAAGACGTGCAAACATTCCACAGTCAAGAGAACTAAGTAGACAAACTTGACGCCTAGTTCATAGAATTCCAGTGGGATGCTTTGCCAATAGTCCGATTTCGCTCGTGTTCTTGCGCAAGGAGAGTGATGGCTTATCGGTTGATGCTCCTTACTTCGTGGATGCATATAGGGCTATTCGATACGGACAAACAGTGGCTAGAAGTATGCTGAATTTACTTTCGCAATATTGCGCGATAAGAAGGTGGTATCTTGCGGTGATATGATCATATTCATCGGTGAAAAGGCATAATACTGCTCGCAGGTATTGAAAAGCAGAGATGAACCAAGCCATCAAGTGCATTGTATGAATCAATTCAACATCTCAATCACTGCCCATAAAACCACCTCTGAAGAGCAACTACCCATGGATCAAGCCGGCATCATGACCTCAGTCGCTGTTATGAAAGTACAACCTGTAAGGCCAGTATCCGTAATCCCACTTCCGTGGATTAAGCCAACATCTCAGCCACTGTCAGTGGAATCACTATGCGTGAAATCGGTGTCTGTCCAATCACTGTCCGCGAGACTGCTGTGTGCGTAGACATCGTCCCTTTGAGCTCTAGCATATTCCAGCCACGCCTCCAGTTCATCTGCTTGAAAAGTGGCAGCAAACTCCGCCAGTACTGCCAACACATATAATCCATACAATTTAAGCAGCGTGAGAAGTGTATGTATCATTATGGATGTAATGAGTACATCTCCCTGGACAGAAATTCTTGCCAATGTCCAGTTCACCATAGTACCCTATGATCGTTTCCCTAGGATCAGCGGATGATTTAGACATTGATAGTTGGCAACAAAAGACATAAGGGTTCGAAAAAGAGTAGACTCTATATGAGTGTTGTAATGTATTGTTTCTTTCTTTCTTACCTGGAATGTATGAAAGGGTAAGGCTTTGATAAGTAGAAGTAAGTGGACTCTTATGCTTTGGTGGTTCTGGCCGCGGCAAGACCTGTTATTCTGGGTGTAGCTTCGCGGTTTTCAACCCGCTGGTTATGATGATCAATGTTTTAGTGGATATTGTGTTGGTTGCTGTGGTAAAAGCATTCTGCCTGTGAGTATAGACATATAAAAGTGCTGGTTGTCACCGCCTATGAAGAAGCTGGTATATGTCATTCTTTGGTGTTACTTGTATGTATCCCAAAAATGGAGCACTAGTACAATGAGTATAACACTCCAGACTGATATGAAGCTGAGTAGAAGTAACCCTGCAAAAGCAGAACTATTCAGCTTTACTGCACCCTAATCGTTCTGATATAGATATTGGTAGTCTATGGTGGAGAGGACCCTATTACTGATGCAGGGTATATGAGTGAATCTTCATGATGATCACGATTCATGACAATAATCACACTTGCATATGATGGACTGATTTATGACTAGAGTATTCTGAAATGAAGCTAATCCACACGCTTCCATACAACCTTGAAAACAAATTATATAGGAACTAAGATATCTATAGAAATCATGATCTACATACGCCGTCATGTGGCCGATCGCCTATCTCATCATCACATGATTCATTCCCCGCATCTATATAAGACACTCTGCCAGCTTCATCTCATTTCTTTCCTTTCCCTTCTCGCGCTCCCCAGAGTCGACTAAGTCTCGCTACGTGAATCTACTCCGCATATGTGGATTTAGGTAGGCGAAAGCCAGCTCCCAGGAATCCTGCACCTTCTCGACAGTCTGTAAGCTTTCATTTTGGTTAATGAAGGCTTGCGATTACGAGGAGGATCTCGTATTGGGAAGGCTTCCAGGACTCTGTTTCATGCAATGTGCGTGAGTCGGTAGCGTCATTCGTTTACATCGACCAGCTTGTTCGATTATTTCCTTTCGTTTGGCTTCTTCTGTCAATCTTTTGTCTCTACGTCTGGATGTCTCTAGTGTCATTTCTGGCCAAGTTCATGGGCATGGACGATAGACTTAAAACCTCTAATCGCTCGTTCACTCGAAGCGATCGAGTTGGCAAGTCTAGAAGGTCACCAAGGAAGACACCGGGTAGACATGTAAAGGCGAAGAAAATGCAAGAGAAGGTGGAAAGTCAGTCACCGGCTACGTGAGTAACTAATGTTATTTCCTGTTCCCAAGAATCCTATTCCCAGTTGTAGAGTGCTTTCTTGAGCTCTAGCACAACGAGATAGAAGAGTTTAAGCTGATCGTAGATGATCTCTATAGTCCCCTCACCAGCCCTATAGTCACCATGATCGTGAGTCACGAACAACGTGTCTTCGTAGCTCATGAGGACATCCTGTGCCGCTCGCCTTTATTCCGGTCTCTACTCAAAGACGAGTTCGTCGGGGACAGTAAGGATAAGGCAGTGGCTCTACCAGATGAGTATGTTCTCAGATCAAACCCAGCACCAGCCCCGTACATATTCCTAACATATCCCAGAGAGCCAGAAGTTCTATCCTGCGTTCTCGAATTTTTGTATAAGGGAGATTATTTCCCGCGCCTGCTCCGTAACAAGGATACCAACTCTTGGGAACTTGAGAACAGCCAGAACGGCACCACACATCCCGGCGGCCGCGGATCGAGCGAAGCGACTATGTTCCACTCCGCAGTAGGCGACATTGTCCTCAGGGACACGGTCGTGTACTGTGCAGCCGAGAAGTATGGGCTGGAAGGGCTCAAAAGCCTTGCTATCCGCAAGCAGGGTCTTCAGAGCGGAATCCCCATCGATGTGATTCTACGATCCGCTCGGTATGCCTACGACAACACGCCGGACTCGGAGTATCGACTACGCGCTCACTACCTAGCTATGATCATTCGGACCCGTCAGATTTTCAAGACCAGTGGAACCATGCAGTTTGAGATGGAGATGGGCCATAAGTTCTATTTCGATCTGTTTGTTGCTATGTGTAACCACATGGATGATCTTGAGGAGATTAGGTTGGTCTTCCCTCTTTTCTGCTTATTTTTAGTCTGAATAGGCTCTTACACTATCGCACAGTAATGATGAATCGCCTAAGATGACCTAATGACTGCACAGTAAGCACGACGATATGTACAGAAAATCATGAAAAAAAATCTTGATCTTCATTGTAAAGAGTTGAACGGGACCGCTTGAAATCAGATTGATTGATTCCATTCTATGAATCATGCTGAATTATTCACTTCTTCGAGGTTGGCCTACCATATCGAATGATATGGCTCCTAAAGCCATATCAATATCATCTTTTAATGAACTTTGAGGCATGATTTGTTTGTTTTGGCGCCACTCCTTGAGCTAAATCTTATGCTTTGCAAGTCTTTGGTTTTAACCGTCGCTCTCTTAAATTGCTCGGTTTTGTCTGTCCCAGTTTGTTTGATATCTAGGAGGTTAATGTCGGAAAGTAGAATGATCTAAACTAGGAATTGAGAGATTAGGCCGCCTCATTTTACAAGCCCGTGGATTCCTGTTATACAGAATTAGGCGGTTGTATCATTATAGCACCTATTAAGATTTATTATTTATACACCGTAAATAACTATTGGCATAACCATTTCGCCTCGGACAGATGAAACTTGACATACAACAGAGACGCTTGCTCGCTTGCTCATACACAAACCTTCAACATACTCGCATAACAACGACAACACAGAGCGACACTAGAAGAAGCCCACAACGAAACGAGAAAACGGAAAACTCCCACAGAACATCAAGACACCATGCATGAAATTAAGACCGAGAGTGTCCATTGGCAGTAGGGCACCATTAAGCAGCAGTCTTCTTCCTCCGGCCTCGCTTCGGCTTTTCCTCAGCAGGCTCTTCTTCAACAGGCTCCGCTTCGTCGTCTTTCGCAGCAGCCTTCCGCTGGCGCTTAGCAGCGGGCTTAGTAGCTTTGGCAGGAGCCTTCGGGGACTCCTTGTCCTCGGTGTCATTCTTCGAGGCACGGCCCTTTCTAGTTGCCTTGGGTTTTGCAGGAGTTGCCGCATCGTCATCGGGTTCTTCCTTTGTCGCCTTGTCGCCTTCAGAGGCTCGCTTTCCACGTGCTGCTTTCTTGGGTTTCTTGGTTTCCGGTGTCTCTTCAGCATGATCTTCAGCCTCATCCTTGAGTGACTGACGGCCACGCTTTTTGGTCTTTGGTTCAGGAGACTTTACTTCAGCATCGCTCTCCTGTACACATGGTTTAGAAACATTGTATATGGGTTACATGGTAATGGCGATAAAACAAACCTCAGCGGCAGCCGTCTTCTTCTTTGATCCGCGCACGCGGAAGCCATTCTTACCCGGACGGTTCATTTCAACATCCTATATCCGTCAGCACTTGGAATCGAGAACACAGCATCGACTCTAGAAAATGACACTGGCGAAAGAAGAGAGATAAGAAAATGGTGTTGCGTACCCCCTTCCACTCCTCATCGTCGACATGGCCCTGTTCCAGCGCTTTCTTGAGCTTCTCCTGATTTTCCGGAGTAAGATCTTCGAAGCCATCTAGCTGTTCGTAATCCTTCTCGTCATCATCCCCAAGATTTTCATTGAGACTAGCAATGATTCTGGGTGTTACACAGCCCCTTTTACAAGCGTCAGTCTGGCAATTCTGATAGGTCTATTCAGTTAAATAGGAGCTCACCAATGTCTCCAGAAAAATGCCTGGATGCGCTCGGTGTCAACCCAGGTGCCGAGACGGAGCTCGCCTTTGGCGATCTTGACCTTCTCATCTTTACATTCTTTGTTTTGGCAGCCGGCTCTGCCAGTGGAGGCTTGCTCTGTTTCAAAGTTAGGATAATGCTCTATGTATGGGAATGAATAGTGCTAAGCAGCATCCATTTGTAATCAATGTATAGGTATAGCAATGAAGGCCGAAATACGAAGCACGAGGGAGTGATAGAGAGGGAGATAGGTAGAAGAAAAAGAAAAGATAAAAGAAAAGGGCCTGTGCAACATCTGCCTGGTTGCCAATAGGCACCCAGCGGCTGATTGACATGGCTGGGAACACAACCGCAACCAGGGACGAGCAAACAGATCCAAGATCACATTGAATAGGCTCCATCGCATCATCGCAGTAATGGCAATGATATATCACCAAATACCTTCCCCAAATATAAGACAGAAGATTTGGAAAATCACTTACCCAAGCGATAAGATGGCATGATAAAAACCAGCGACGCAGTTGTTTTTCTTTGATCCGCAGTGCGAAAGAAGCGCTAAAAGGTCGCAATATTATTCAAGAATGCCAGGCTTTAGAAAATCACTAATGGTGATGTTGAAACCTATTAGTTTATCATAGAAGCAGAAGAGAAGCAGGGGGAAGAAAATCTGCAAGAGGGAAAGAGATGGAGGATGAAGGGAGAGAGAAGAAAAGCGACAAAAGAGAGCGCAACGGAACCCGCCACCGACCAAACCCGCAGCTCTCTTTACATTTGTCTCAGGCCAACTCCTCTTTATTCCCCTGGATTTCATTATTTAACTCTTCTTGGTTTTATTTGGTCAGGTTTCTCGTCTTTACGATCAGTGCATCACAACGTGCTTACTTTTCTTTTCTGGCTTTGGACCTTTTCTGCCTGTTAATTCAAATTTATGGTTGCAAATCGTATCTACAGCGGGTGGTTCCTTCCAACACATACACCTCTGAAATTGCACGAATTACCCATCATTACCCATGAAAATTATTGAGGACAGCATATAGAATTAGAATACCATTCATATCCCAGTAGCTGTCGATTTTGTTTCCTACCCATATTCCGAGCGACAGCTGCGGTGCTGATAAGAATGCGAGAGCAGCCGCTACTGACGCCCACAACCCTAAATAAACACAGATCAGATAAACTGGAGATTGAGAAAAGCGCAGCATTAAAGAAGCTTAAACTCTCTCGACAGAATTCACAGCTAATTCAATCTTCTCCAGTGTATTAATGTGCTTTCGTAGCATCACAACTGCTCCTAGACTAAGACGAGACACAAAGGCCGATGCCGCATGCTCCTCACTCAACTTTTCACCTGCTGTGGTGCGGTTATGATGTTCAATCATGCCAAGGGCTTCGTCAATAGCTCGACGCAGTAGTCGTGGGCGGATGCCAGCATTGTTTTGTTCCTGCCGGGGTTCTGCGAAATAATGCCATGCTAGAACATCTTCTAAGCCAGCGGTAGGGTTTTCAAGGGCGTGTTGGATAAATGTTCGTGTTATCAGGAAGGCTTTCTCCGTGTATTGGGTCGACTCGACGTGTCTGTCTTCTTCCGCAGCAAGTGTTTCATAGCCAGCCTCATCTTGGTCAGGTTAGTACTCATGCAAGCCCTTCGGCGAAGGTTCATACGTACTGTAGAATGGCATTTTTACCAACACGAGACCCATGATTGAAACCAGGATCTGCAAGACCGTCGAGCTGGTGGGGGACCAACTTTCCGTGGGGTGTTTCCCAGGCCAAGTTCCTAGGAGACTCAAGCAGATATTGCCATTTTCTCCCAAGTTAGGTTGATCATCCCGTTTCTGTCCGTCCATGAGTGAAAATGGGCTGCTGGAGGACGAATAGGATAATCATCAGGGAAGTGAAAGTCAATCACAAACGGCGCATGCTCATATGGTGTTCCTTGAGGCCCAATTATCAGAACCCGTAAGAGGTCCATTCGAGACTCCCATGTCCGCACGAAAATTCCAGCCGGTAGAGAGGACTGGAGAATTTCGAATTCTTTTTGTATACGCTTGGTACGCAATCCAGGAGCCTCGCTCGGAACCCTAGAAAAGAAATGGTGGTCGGAAGGGGCCGGGCTTTCTAACAGAGAGAATCCCGGAGGACATGACGATGGCCAGGCTATTGAGAGTATAAGTAATCTATTTCCCACTCGAGGAACTTCAGCTCGGGCCTCATCAGTACCAGGCTGTTCCTGCTCGTCATGATCGAGCCTCTCAGGAGGACTGATAATTGACAATGCGGGGGCCACGAGCCCATCGGCATCCTCGCTATCGTATTCCACGTCCTCGAAATCCTCATCGCCAAGCTCGGACTCGCCCTCAGTCGTCCAATCATCATCCCCACTATCATTATCAAGACGCTCGCCGCCCTCATATTCAATTGTCTCAGTGAAGGGGAGGTCGGCTGGTTGTACAGAACGATCGATATCCGTGAGGTTAAACAAGTCGAATGGCCCGAGTGACGCAGGCGGAATTATATTATCCTCATCAATTACCATCATGATTCTCTCCCATGGCACGCGAATATCACGAACATTGTCGGCGCCTGCAGTTCGAATGGTGATGGTGCCCTCAGTATCTATTGAAACGATCTTACCGATGAAGTCCGTTGGCAGTTTGATGTTAAATTCTTCGTGATGTACGCTATATCTGGAAGGCACAGGTGACGTGTCAATCTCAGTAGTCCTTTTGAACCATTCTGAGTTCACCATGGATAATTTCATGGACTCAAGGTATGAAAACGTCTCTGAGAAGGTGACAGGAGAGAGAGCGCTCAGCCGACAAGGACCAGCTGCTTTAGTCGGCTCACTGCCAATTGCTGGTATTGATGACCGGTGAACTATTCCAGGTGCCAGAAGAACTAGGTCATTCAGTGCCCTTTGCATGCTAGAGTATGAGTAAAGCTCATAGATGGAGACTTCTGTGACAACATCGCTAAGTTCGCCTAGGAAGGATCCAGGCACCAACATGTTTCCCTGATGTGTCATTTTGATATCTGGATCTTTATGCCAGCGGACCGATGCTATCCTCTCCTGGCTATCCACATTTTGAACCACCCCGACTCTCCTAACATGCAATGTCTCTTTCATATGGTGCCCGAAGGGCCCCGTATTGTTCTTGCAGGGTTCCCGGATAGCCTCAATACCATCTTTCGTGACAACTAAATTTCCAGGCCAGACTTCGTCATCAGCGCCAAAGAATTTGTGCAGAGAGGTGGCTGCTTCGGTGGTGGTAGTCCCATCTTGCCACTGAACAGTGACCTTCGTCTTCTTGGAAGTAACACGGAGGATGTTTACGTCGTAGCCGAATGTTTGCTCAGTGGGCATGTGTTGATATGCCGGATATTTTACAGCTGCAGAAATTGAATTCCGGAAACGCACCCTATCCCCGATGCTAAGCCAGGTATCTGAATAAACAGGTTTTTCATTTGGGTTTTCCTGGGGAACCTGTCCAAAGTCGCATACCATTGCGTTTCCACGGAGAGTAGATGCTCTTATTACATCGAGGTTTGTGCCACTATGGGATGTGCCTGCGGCAAAAACATTTGGACAGAGCCAGTCGACTTGAATATCCATGGCCGGCGTAGCTATGACATAGCCTCTGGCTGTGGGATTGAGGCTGCGCTAGAGGACAAGTCGCCTCTGCTCAGGTTGTTCCTGGCCGTAAAGGAAAATTGGCCAGGGAACACGAAATTTGATTCGTTGGACCAAATTGAGCCACCATTGGCCAAGGGGTAATGTCGCATAGCACTTGTATTGTTGGGCAACGCCACGAGACTCTCGATTTCGAATGGAAGCGGAATCTCCAGGGCACTAGGATCGAGGGGAGATACAACACTTTGGTTTGGAAGGAGCAGAATGGCATCACGATCAATGCCATGGATGATTCCGAGCTTCTGCCGGTAGACAATATAATCGCCTTCGGAAAATTCTTCGTATTTCTTGAGTTCTACTACTGGAATCTCATGCAGAAGTGGAGGTTTTGTGGCATCGTTCTCAATTGCTAGGCTGCCTTCCCGCTTGATGGCCGTTTCAGTGAAGTTGAGAGGGCCATACTCTCCAGTCTTGGGGTCGAGCGTTCGATAAGCGATAGGCTCAAGGCTACATGTTGCAGAGGTACTGATGACCGTACCACTGATTGTGTCATCTGGGTGCCGCTTGACAGTATCGCCGAGATCCAAAGTGCGATCGACTAGTTCAAGGTCGCTCTGATGTATAAGCGAGTTTCCCTGCGAGGGCTCTGTGAAGCTAACAAAAACATACCCTTTTGGAGGCTAATGCGAGAATTAACTTTCAGTAAGAGAGAGTCGACCGTTGGGTTGTGGTTACATACTACTCCAGTTTCCAGGAACTCCTCCAAGTCCTTCTGGGGAACGGGGGTATAAGAAAGGATTAAGCATGTACTCAGGTTCAGGGGTTCATCGTTATCAGCCTTGGACAGGTCATTTCAGCAACTGCCTCGATCGTCTCAGCCATCGGAGAAAGGAGAGTGAACATACATCATGGTCAGTTCTCTGTACATTACCATTTAGCCAGAATAAACCGATATCTATCAAGCGGCGTTACTTACGCAGACATGTCCCACCAAAGTAGGATTGGACTTCAAGCAGCATGCATCATCAACCTCAAACTGTAGATAATATATCGGTTACTTGCCGAAGAATCATGCAGTATGATTATGATATTGATCCTACCAACCTTCACATCTTTCTTAACCCCTATCTTAGTTGCTTCGCTCGTGAGTCCTGATCTTACGTCCATCGCGCGATAAGACGCGGGGCTTGCGCGGAGAAGGTAGCGCCGTTAGATGAGTATAGTCGTGCTATTAGTACCCGACAGGGGGTGAAGCATCCCTGATACAAAGGAGCAAAGACGTGTGAGTGAAAAGAATTAGGGATAGGAACGAACTGTATGAGAAAGAGCGATTAGGAGTATGGTATAGATCCTAGAGAAGTCGCCTAAGGCAGTTGTCACATGCGCTCCTGAGGCTGAGACACAAGCGTCTTACTGCCCCATTGCAATTCCTTCACTTAATTTATTATTATTTTCATTTCTAAGGCTATAATCAGGGGGACAACAGTACGCAAGGCTAACCCAAAAAGATCTATTGTCATACATCAAACAGCCAAGAAGCTAAATGGGGTAGGTGATTGAACAGCTGAAGACATGTCACAAAATGAACAAAGGATAAACAACCCCACACCGCTCTAGATTGGTTAAATTTACTAGTAGTAGTAGGTTTATCCGAGGATCTGAGCATCAACTTTTCTCCAGCCTTGAGCTTCTAGACAACTCCGTCTACTCGTGATTGGCCCGGGTGTTAAACAAAACAAACGTCATAAAATTTGCGCCGATTAAAAAACAAAATTCCCCAACTTACTACTACTTCAAATACCTCAAGTTGCGAAAACAACCAAATCCAACGAAATCACGTCAGATCTTGCGCCTACCAGGTCACACTTTGTGTAGATCGCCGCAGGATTACTTTATAATTGCCCGCGTAAGGCAAACGCAAAGTCTCAGAATGTCCGAACCAGGCCCGGAATCGATCCCTACGAGCGCGGATCCGCGTAGCAAGCGGCCCGTCAAACGTCGTGCTGTCACAGCGCAGTCGGAGCAAGCTTCCCAGATCGAGTCTCTCTTTCGCGACCCCGCGAAGGAGGTTCGGCTCCCCGATTCTTCCAAGCAGCGATCATCTGCGTCATTGCCTCCTCCACCGGAAATCGTGGCGAATGTTCAAGGTTCTTCTGCTGGTGCCGGTTCCGGAGAATTCCACGTTTATAAAGCCAGTCGCAGGAGGGAATATGAGCGCTTACGCATGATGGAAAGCGAGGTCAGTAAGGAGAAGGAAGATAAAGATTGGGAGAAACAACGAGACGAGGCAAGGCGGAAGGATGAAGAAAAGACGGAAAAGAATCGGAAAAGAAGGGAAAAGAGAAACGCGGCAAAGAATAAAAAGAAAAGTGTTGGTAGCAATGATAAGGGACCTGACAACATGGCTGTTGATGGGCCGACGAAAAGGGCACTCGACGGGAATAAGGATGGAGATCAACACTGGCCAGCAGATGCCGTCGAACATGCGGAAACACCAGGAGTGATAATCCATGAAGACTGAGACTACGGTTGCAACAGAAACTGTGGGCAGGATTTTACCAGATCGCTGTCACTTTGGAGTGTACGATATAAAGATACCCGTGTAATTTTTAGTCTAGGATATTCGTACAATATCAAGAAGTGATCGTGCAGCATTATGTACGCATTTTTATACCTGTTACTAGTCTTATTCATCGCCACCACCAAGGTTGGCACCCACCTGCTGTGCAGATTTGCCGCTGCAAATATCATCAACACGGAGAAGTAGGCATGCGGACTAACCGGGTTAGCAACTGTATCAACAAGACGAGGAGAACTTGTACGACTTACTTCGACAGCAGTCTTGATACTCTGGAGTTTCACTGCTTCGGGTTCCCAAACGCCATATTCCTTCATGTCAACGAGGGCACCAGAGTCACCATCAAGACCCCATGTGGTGTGGCCTTCGGCATGCTTGGCCCTCATGCGAGTCAAGACACGAATAGGGCTGGCTCCTGCGTTTTGAGCCAGCGTCCGGGGAATAACCTCCATAGCATCAGCGACGGCCTTGTAAGGCCATTGTTGAACGCCCTCAATAGACTTGGCCAACTGGCCCAGCTTGACAGAAACTGCCATCTCGATAGCACCGCCACCAGGGGACAGTCGCGGGTGGAAGATGACATTCCGGGCAACGGCCATAGCATCCTGAAGGTTGCGCTCAACCTCGTTGATAATGTCCTTGGACGGACCACGCAGAAGGATGGTGCAAGCCTTAGGGTTCTGGCATTTTCTGAGGAAAGTGAAATACTCATCGCCGATCTTCTCGATTTCGAACAATCCACAAGCCGTTCCTACATCAGACTCCTGGAGGTCATCGACCCGGTTCACGATCGTCGCACCAGTGGCACGAGCGATACGGTTGTTATCCGTCTTCCTCACTCGGCGGAGAGCTGTGATGTTGGCCTTCATCAAGAAGTGTTGTGCGAGGTCTGGACGGGTGGTCAGTAATGAATCGTCTCGCAGTCTGGGGTAGAAGCTTCTTACCTGAAACACCCTTTTCTGTGATGACAACATCAGGCTTGACAGCCAAGATGGCATCGCACATGCGCTTAACCTGCTCCTCCTCAATTTCCAGGATCCTGTTCCAGTCATCCTCCTTCGTAATCTCAATGTTTGTCTGAGATTCACCCTTCTTGTATTCCAATGGGCAGTCGAGCAAGACGACTCGAGGGTTCTCAATTCTTCTCCGCATCTTCGGGTGGGTAATATCCTTGTTCACCATCACACCGTCGATAACCTCACTGTCTTCAATCTGACCACCAGGAATCTTCTCAATACGAGCATACCGCTTAATATCAACCTCCCTCTTTCCACCACCAGCATCGAAGGAAACGGTTCGCACAGCCTTCAGGGCCAGACTGCACATCAGCTCGGACCATCTGGAAACAAACTTCGTCCCGATGGACGACTGGATAAGGGTGTACATCGCTTTATCATCGTCGATATCAACAGGAATCGAGACCTCCTCCACAATGGCAAGGGCATCCGCTAATGCACGCTTGAAGGCAGAGATGATGACGACGGGATGGATGTTACGTTCGAGCTGAGGGAGGGCCTGAGCGAGCATCTCACCAGCTGCCAAGTGTTAGTATGCCAACATAATAGCACATAGAGAGAGCATGCGATGATACCTAGAATGATAACGGTCGTGGTTCCATCCCCGACCTCCTCATCCTGAGTACGGCTGAGCTCAATCATGCTCTTCGCTGCGGGGTGCGACACCTCGATTTCTCTCAAAATAGCATGTCCATCGTTAGTCAAGACGATACCGCCCATAGGATCGAGCAGCATCTTCAGCATGGCCTTAGGTCCCAGACATGACCGAATGATGTCCGCAACACTGCGAGTATTTTTGTTAGAGCTGAAGTGGCTAGAAAGAGTATCGTCACGTACGTCTTTGCGGCAGTGATATTCGAAAGTTGGGCCTTGCGACCGACCTGTCGTTCACCAGAGTTGGTGTCTATGATTGTTAGCCATATGAGGTCAAAGCCAAGGTGAATTCCGTTGACAACATACTCATTACCACCACCGGTGCCTGCATTTTGGCGGTGGTCTTAACGTGCTGCGGGGAGGGAAAAAGAGAGTTTGGGTATTTCTAAATATTATTGAAAGGGTTCTTCAAAAACAACTGAAGAACAAGATAAATGAGGGGCGCGTTCGTTAGGGGGATCTGGAGTGCTGTGCCCGCCTTCACCATCAAATTTCCAGCGAACCTCGAAGTGGGATTGCGGATTGGAAGCTCACCCCCACTAATCCCCTTCAGGCTTAGTCTACCTTTCTCCTGATTAAATCCACTCCTATCAAATCCAAACACTTTTATTGTATGTACTCGTACAACAGCCTAGATGACCTGAAATTTTTGTACTCGCTTGCTTGCTTACATGGCATCCACATTATTGTTCCCTGGTGATGTGTCCAGCCATCCCGTAACAACTTTCTATCATAACTCTGGTGACCATCGTTATCTCCGTAATAGTCTTGATGGGTATGGCCCTGCCATTTATCAACTCGAAACAAAGGTTTCGCATGCTCGATTATGACTTTGGAAACTAGAATGTTTCTTGAATACCCTGCTCATTCTTTGGATGCTCTTTCGTACGCGGCCACGCATAGCGGAAACCATTGACGAGCCTCTCTGGCGAAACCGCTCATGCACATTTGATCCTTCATGAGGCGCCTCGATGTCTTCGACTGTCTGAACTACACATGCCCGGGCTTTTGTGCCTGTCAGCTGTGATGCGTATTTGCCACGAGACCGTTGGTAACTGGTATATTCGGTTTCAATAGCCTCTTCCGTTGATGTCGAATGCTTTGAAAACAGATTGTTGCCCAGATTGAAGCGCGCATTGGAGCTGTGGGAATAAGGCCGTGCCATCGCGATAGTATCACACTCCATATGCCTTCTCCCATTTATCTCACGTATGCTCTGCCACAGATACCAATCGGCTTGCTCCGAGCTTGAACTTGGCAAACCTCCGCGATCACGCTTCTCCGTGTCCTGGGTTGCTTTCATCGCGGCTATCGAGTCCTCATACCAAATCACTGGTGACGTTGCATGGTAAGATGGCTTGTAGAATGGAGTATTGCTTTCCTCTCTTTTTAATCTTTGCACGCGTTCAAGATGTAACTCGCGCATGTTTTCTTGTAATCGGAGTGGTAGCGCGGCCATAGCTACTTCATCCAAGCCGTAAAGGACCTCTTCTTCGCTCTCCGTGAAGTAACCGTCTTCTGGGCTCCTATATCGGTTCATTTCCCATGAATTTCTCTCATGGTGAAATGAATGGGGGTCTGGAATGAGAGCTGTCGGATCGAAATAGCCTGACATCTTGATGTGTATTATTTTACTACTTCAATAACACCTTTACTGTCCTAGAAACATTAGTCTTCAAGGACAAGTGCTATTGGATGTGAGGATAGTTCTTGAGGAGCTGAGGCCTGGGTTTGGTCTGTGTTTGTTGTGGGTTGAGCTGCGCAACGCGTTTGCTCAAGGCTAATGACCTGATACAGATGTGCAACGTTAGGCTTCCTGTATTCATGTTTTCTTTTTCCCTATTTTCTTTTTCTCGTATTGTTTAATTGCTTGCATCACTTACTAAGTCTGGCCCTGTTAATATGTCGGATAATTTTCTACCATGCAGGCTGTCAATCATGCAACATCTGGCACTTATCAGTAGGGGTCATAGGGAAAGTGCATCCAAAGTAAGAAAGACAAGTCAAATTGTGTTGTCCAAGCAAAGTACCTGTTCACTTTGCGACTTAGGCACTCATATTTAAGATGTGTACCAGGTTCAATCAGTAGCGCCGCGCCAATTGACTCACTCGACTCCATAATTAGAACTTTTAGGCCAGCGCTTACATTTTATCGGTATGCGCCGACCAGGTCAACAAAAGATTCAGCAAGATATTTTCTACCATTGAAGTTATAGTCAAATATTGCGTATATGGAACAGTGCTATATATAGATCACGTATATTTCCCGCCATTTTCCATACAGTTTCAGACCCAGATTCACCAGTGTTTCATTAGCCTCCAATAACCCTGACACTAAAACTCTCGACTTTCTCCAATGTCACATATATCAAAGACCCCGTCCTCAGGAATTTCATATTTTCTCAATGCATCTCTTAATTTTCTAGGTGGCTCAAGGACGTCTTCCTCCGTTAACACCCAAGTGCCCCAGTGCATACCCAGGGCCTTCTTGCACTTGGTATCCTGGAATATCTGAACTGCATCGTGAGGGTCAGCATGTACAGGGCTCCAAACGAAGCGAGGACCGTAGGCTCCAATCGGTATCAATCCTAGGTCGAACGGCCCACGAAATTCACCCGTCTGCTTGAAAGCAGGGCATACTGGAAAGTCGTATTCCGGTGCGTGGTCATCAGCACTATCAGGAAGCTCTGGCACACTTCTGTAGCCGGTATCTCTGTAATTGCATCATAGGTTAGCAGCGAAATCTAAATATTCGAAGATACCTGTCTGTAAACCTACCCAGCAAAGTAGACCTTGCGTCCGCCGGACTCAATATACCATGAAGCCCACAATGTCTTTGCTCGGTCGAATACACCTCTGTTACTAGTATGTTGACAGGGTAGACATCCAACCCGCCCTTTTATATCTCCTGGGCTTGAACCGCCATTCCCGGCGGACTCTTTAACTTGTGTCCCTGTCGATTGGGAGGGCGAGAGAACAATGTCACGTTCCTCCCACCAGTCTAATTCAGTCACATTGTCGATCCCAGAGCTTTTGAACCACTCCTCATTACCCAGAGGGACAAAGAAATGGCAATTTGGATGTCGCTTAGAAATCTCTTTAACAGTTGGGTAAGACAGATGGTCATAGTGATTATGAGATATCACCACTGCGTCGATAATGGGTATATCCTTGATTTGGCATGGCATTTCAGTGTAACGCTTGGGGCCCAACCAAGAAAATGGTGAGCAACGGTCCTCGAACACGGGGTCAAACAGTACCCGCAGACCGCTGGGGTACTCGACATAATAACAGGCATGACCCAGCCAAGTCGCACGCAACTTCGGAGTATCTCTACTAGGCAAGAACTCTGGCTTTTGGACAGGCACGGTTGGAGGCGTAGTGTCGGGACGGTTTGCTTTACCATTTATTTGTCGTCTTGATACAATAAGCACACGTTAGACTACATATAGGTCCCCGGTACCAGTGTTCTGTTAGTACTCACAGAAAAAAGCGATGAACAGCGGGGTTCGTATATGAACTACGTGATCGATTAGCATGCGGAAGCTTTGCAACGAGCATCGTCCTGCAATACTTACTCCCATGGATTCGTGAATCCTCCTGAGACATGGTGTTTCTTCTCATTGGCATCTTCAGGACCTGTGGAAGTTGAAGGGATCGAAAGGGTGAGGGCGTAAAGGACTGCCACGCTCGAGGAGCTCATGGTGCGTCTCTGAGGTGAGCTGTGAGGTGAAGGATGTTGACGAAACCCAAAGATTCGCCGAAAGAAGTGTCGCATGCCGGTTGTGCAGGAATTCAGGAGTCTCTTTCAAATATAACTGTATTTATTTTAGCTCTGCTAACGAAACTGGCGGCGATCTGCTACGAAATGTAGTACTTTTCTGCGAGCCCAAAGATTTGCGCTAAAACGATGACTACGTACCTTTGTAGCTACCTAATGATTGTCAGCCAGGAGCCTACTACTACCTAGCCTAATGTAGCCACGGCCTCAAGTCTGACTGGTCCTTTGAACATGATTGGAACCTCTAAGCCTTAACACTAACAGCGCGACGCTTCCACTAAGTCCGATATCTCCGGTATGAAGTATGCTTCGAAGCCGAGACTTTGCCTAATGGGGGTATTAAATAATCGGCCCGTTGTGCTTCCGAGCCTCCGATATCATTCGGAACAATCACTTGATTGCCCGAAGAAAGTGTTGGATTGACTGCCAGCTCTAGTAATCAATTTTCCTTCGGTTGGCATGGACCCGAATGGACCACCAAGTACACCGGGGCTGCCTTCGCCTGGCGACTTAATCCTGCAGCAGAGGAAAGATGCTATCCAGGCGACCGCACAGCCCACCGGAGATGGCGGGCTCTTCGCCCAGCTATCTAGCAATCCTCTCTTCACAGCGGTAAGGCGGTTTGGGCGACACTGTGATACGTATTCAAGAAACTGTTGGTCTAATGAATTCTGGAACTATTAGGGCTTCGGTCTCGCCGGTTTGGGTGCTGGATTAAGTTTCGCTCAGAAGGGCATTCGACATGGCGCTGCACTCCTGCGAAGGCGTATGCTCGTGGATGTGGAAATTAGCGTAAAGGACGATTCATATCCCTGGTTTCTTCATTGGATGACGCTATATCAACGTTCGCAGCTCAATTCGGCTCAGGCGGCAGCCAGCAGGTCTGGCTTCATGGAATCTTTACTCCAGAGAATGACTCCCGGGATGCGCCACCTCTCGATCCAAACGCAGAAAGTCGAGCACTCAAACGGTGCGATACATACACATTTTTCGTTAGTGCCTGGTCCAGGGAGACATGTCTTGCGCTACAAGAATGCGTTTATCTTTGTAAATCGGATGCGCGAGTCGAAGTCACTGGACCTTCAGACTGGTCGCCCGTGGGAGACGATTACCCTGACCACTCTATATTCGCATCGTCATGTTTTTGAAGATCTCTTCAGAGAGGCTCACGCATATGCAGCTAAATCACATGAAGGCAAAACATCAATCTACAACAGCTGGGGTACTGAATGGAAACTGTTTGGACAACCGCGACGGAAGCGCCCTTTGGAATCAGTCGTTCTTGATGAGGGTGTCAAGGAACGGATTGTGGATGATGTCAAAGACTTTCTATCTAGCGGGAAATGGTATCATGATCGTGGAATTCCGTACCGACGGGGCTATCTGCTCTACGGGCCGCCGGGCACAGGAAAAAGCTCCTTTATCCAAGCTTTGGCAGGTGAACTAGACTACGATATTGCCATTCTCAACCTTAGTGAACGGGGATTGACGGATGATCGGTTGAATCATCTTCTCACCATTGTCCCTAACCGCACACTTGTTCTGCTGGAAGATGTAGATGCTGCCTTCTCCAATCGGCGAGTTCAGTCTGATGCCGATGGGTACCGCGGTGCTAACGTTACGTTCTCCGGTTTGCTGAATGCCATGGATGGAGTTGCAAGTGCTGAAGAACGTGTGATATTCCTGACGACGAACCATGTAGAGCGGCTAGACCCAGCTCTGGTTCGGCCTGGCCGGGTGGACATGACAATCCGTTTGGGCGAGGTCACTCGCTACCAGGTTGCATGTCTCTGGGATCGATTTTATAGTGAGTTGGATACAGATGGAATGCATCGAAAAATATTCCTCGACCGACTACACGAGCTTGGATTAATAGAAGACGGAAACGGCCGGAAGCCTGATCAGCCGAAGGCTACGAGTGCGGCCGCTGCAGGGCTTATTTTTGTATAACAAAGGAAATATGGATGGCGCCATTGCGATGGCTGATGCGCTTACATATTCGGTCCATGATGAAGCCATGGAGTATGATCGTCCAAGTGGCAACTAACTGTATATTATCTTCTAGACATCTTTTGCATACGGACCCCCAGCATGCAGTGTACTTCTATGCGACATAAACAGTTATTTACATATACCCCTTCCAGTTGTTTTAAAACAACGGTGCTAGTATCTGAAAATTATGCATTGCCCTTGGTACCATACCTTCTTTGGCTATGGTTGACATTCACTGAGCTCGACCCGCCATCGTACCTCGTTTGCGCAGTTTCATAGACTCTCTCAGGCGGAAGACACTGGGCGATTGTCATTCACAAGGTGAAGTATCTTCTTCGCAAAGCTGCCCTTATTGTCAAGCTTCCCACGTTCCCACCTACTATATCCTTCCTCCACGGCGATAAACCGGCCATTCAGCTCTACTATGCCTTTTCAAGACATCGGTAGATCTTCAAGCATGATTGGATCGGCAAATCTTCAATCCAGCAAATATATAGCATGGTTTTTATTCCATGAGCACTGTGAAAATGGGACTCTTGATATTTATAATCTGAATTTGACAATTCGTTGGGGAAAATCTAGTATTGTACTAATATACTAGAAGCGATGCTTATTGTTCAAAATCAATACAAAGCAAGACCCTTTTCAGATCAAGTAGCAAATCTAAGACACGAAGTGTAAGCATTTAGCGCAGCGCTCGCGCTATTCGTTTGAGTCATCGTATAAATCCCTTTCGGCCCGCAACTGCGAGGCCGCTTGACATTTCCCGTATTTCCCTTTATCTAAACATTGGAAAATCCAGTCTATGCAGCACCCAGCTAGTCATGTCGATTAATTGGTTTCGCACTCTGTCTCTGGGTCCATTCTATGAATCCCTCCGCCAATCTCACAGAACCTATCCAGTTAGCGCTGGATTTCTACGCTCACCGTCGCTCAACTTCGTCAATCCACGCCACAAAGTTATAAGCACCACGGACTGTGTGACACAAAAATTCTTAGAATCAGACATCGCAAGACTAAGCGACGAAGAAGTGTTGTCATTGTTTACCACCGGTTTCTTTGGCGGATATGTCTTTTCTTGCGAAAGGTTGATCCTCAGAGCTGGGGGGTGGAAATTACTCCCAGCACAGTTTTCAAGTAAGCACGCGTTCCGCCATAGCTAGTTGTATCGTAAGTCGGATCTCAATAATACTTTGGACACTCAAATATGTATTAGATTTTGAAGATGACCCGGCGGTAATGACCATCTGGAACCACACTAAGATCCCACGTACCAACCTCTTACCACTTGGCAGCCGCTTATTTGGCTCCTTCAAGCTGCTAGACAAGCATGTCTCAAAGGCTTCAGGGCTGGAACCTAGCTACGTCGACTACGGATTTGGTTCGGATCAGTCTGGATTCGCAGGATGTCACCGAGTCCAGGTCACTCGGTCACCGCAGCCCGAGATCAGCTTGCAGCAGTTTATATGTAATCCGACCAAGGACAGCCCGTCAGTGGCAGGTTACCTTGAGAAGTTTCACTTCATTTATGCCAAGTTATTGTTTGCAGACGGTGTCCGGTCTGTCCTGACTGGGAAGTAGCGTTATCTGTGTACTTTTTTATATACCCCCATTGTCCACATCCTGGGAGATCCTGGTTGGGGGGTTTGTATGATATTGGTGATGACCTTCTGGGACATGAGCATTGGACGACTCAGATAGTCCGGACCATCTTTGGGGTCTTAGATATTAGATGATACCTGGCTGAATACACACTCCGTTACGATGACCGTTTCAGAATGGCACCACTGAATGACTGTGTCTTCACGAATTGGAGCGGGCTATAGACACGCAGGATTCATCCATTTCAACTAAAGTAGCAATATAGATTTTTTGTGGTAGATGTTAGCGTAGGCGCATATCTCTTCCTAAAAGGTGAAGCGAGTATGTAGAAGGTTTACCTCGATCACTTCATCACATCCTTGTTCACAACCTTAACCGCTTTTCCTCCTCCTCTCAAAGCGACACAGCCACCGTATCACAATTTAACGGAAACAATTAACCCCTATTTGCTTCTCTCAGGCGATAAACTTCCGGGAAAACCACCAGTCACAGAAAGTATTGAATACAAGAGCCAACCAGCTTTTGGCGGCTCACACCGTATCCCCCCTGCTCCGACTTCTTCACACTAACTGCAGCATAGCACTAGCTGTGTTTGGTTCTAGAGTGTCAGGATCGTCGCAAATCATATCCCAGGGTTTAATACTCGAAGCGCCGCGATTGATGTCACACTGGTCTTTGCGCTCAGGCTTCAGCCTATCATCGGACCCGGGAGGTCGAGATTAAGCGCCGGCCATAACAATTCGGCAGTCATGCATAACAATGCCCATCTTTCACACTAGTGGGAACCTCTCATAGTTCAGATCCTTGACGCTGAGCTTAACTAGCTTTCGGCGTTATGCTGCAGCCAGGGTTTTACTCCACGAGGGAGGGGTATATGTCCACTGGATCCCACTGATCAAGATGGCATTCTATACCTTCATGGTTCAATGCTTGGACCCTTTCCATTATCAAGTCTCTTTTGGCATTTCATTAGAATTGGAGTGTCGAGATTATCAGTGTTGTGGTCAATATTGTGCATCTTGGTGAACATTGAAGTGTCACGATTGCGGATTGCATATTGACACCTGTATATTGTTTTTTCTCCACTGTTCTTTAACAGCCAATATCTCTACTCTTCTGACGATCACCTGTGGATCGGCAAAATGAGCCAGTTTCAACTCTTTCCGTCGCCGTCAAGAACCAAGGCTTCGCAGAACCCCTTTCGCCTAGAGAATCAAAGAGCTACGGGCACACAACCTAGGGGCTCAATCCCTCTGGATGATCTTAAAGGCAAAGATATCAGGACAGAGGCACTTCTTTTCCAAATCGTCGATGATGCGAAGAGCATTAAGGCCACGAAGAAAGCGAAACCCCCTCGGTCCACACCTGTATCCATACCAGAGACCGTACAGGAACTGAGGACGCCTGAATCGCTCTTCAGCCAGAGCCCAAAGGATAACACTATAAATCGATGGGGTTCGCCGGCGAATAATGTCTCCCAGGCATCCCCGACGGGAAGCAGCAATAACCATGTGGCTTCTCAACTGGCTCAGGGATCTTCTGAGGCTTACAGCTCACCTGTCATTCCTATGAGGTCCATATTCCCTCAGTATAATCCCAATGTCCCACTCAGCCAACAACAGTATTTCCCCCAACTCTCAGCCAATACGCGAACACATAGGCCCAAGGAGCTCTCCTTCACACCACCGCCAGAGATTGACCGTGCCCTTGGGCCAAAGACCGTCCCCGCAAGCGTGATGAACTTTCCAGCAGGTGTTCTCGACCAAGTTGAGATACAATACTCGTCCATTACCGAGCTTAGGGGTCTTTGGGAAGCAGCCAATGGCCAGCGGCCGCAAGACCTGGCTGGAAACTTCAATTTGCGTGTGGCACGGTAAGTAAATACATATCTTCCTTTTCGAGAAAGGTACTAATGACTCAACCAGGACGGAAGCTGAAACATACACGTTTGGCGACCCCCAAGCGCCATTCTATAAGATGCAGACATATTCGACCAACGAATTATCCGTCACCAGGACCAACCCATCCAAGCCAAATAGCAGCATTCCTATCATGATGCTAAAACTTGAAGACCGCCGCCGCGAACCCCCAAATGACGGGCTTGTGTCCATCCTCTTCTCCCGTCTGGCTGCGATGCTGGCCATTGACGAAGCGGAAGTGTTAGCTAGACAGCGCCATCTGGGTCCCTCAGAAGCTGCAGAAGCAGAAGGGAAAGCTCTAAAGCGAGCTGCAGCACAAGAATCTTGCAGGTTATCGTGGAATAATGCCAAGCAACTGTATGAGCTGCATCATCCATCGCTTACCAAGCTCCCACCTCCAGCACTTGTCGGTGCGGCGGGTATCCCATTATCCCCAGTGAGGTCAATGTATTCCGGACTCCTGCACATTTCTGTTTCTACGCCGTCGAAAGAATCAAATTCTAGACAACCTCCAACAATTCTTGTGACTACTCCTATGTCGGCCAATGCGGTTGAAGGCGCCAACATGGCAGCCACACCTCGGACGTCGACCCTCCCTTTGACCGATTCTGACGAGCCCCTAGCATCACTGGATCTGGGCACGCTGACCCTCTCTATTTCCGCGGCTGCCATTGTCGCCACGGTTCCTTCGTTGTATGCAATAGACTCCCTTGTCACTGCAATGCTGGCCGTTGCCGTCTCGGACGAGTCCACCAGCACCGTCCTAACAGACATGGGGCTCTACGACCCAACCAAGGAAGCACCATCCAAGCGATCATCTGCAGATAGCAACATAAGAAGCCTCGCCGAGCACGAAGACGCCAAGGAAGGCATCCAACTTATGTCCAGGATCCGATCCGCAAGATCGCAATGCGCCGACTCCACCCAGAGAAAATGGCTCCATTTCTGGGGCCCACCAAAGCCCGCAAAGCCCAAGACCAAGAAAATCGTGGTCGAAGAATTCGACCTAGAGAAATATGGACGCTACGGCTACGGCTCCTCGCGGGAGGGACAGAAGCTCCCGGGCTTGACGCGGGGATGCTTACGAATGCTCTTCTGGGGGCTGGATATTCTTGTGCGCGTACTTGCTATGATGGTAAAGATAATCGCCTGGTTGCTGGTCAATCTCACTCGGTGTGCCACCAGCTCGAAAGCTTAATGAATAGCGATCTAGATTAAATGCCTGGTGGCGCTTAGAAGGGACGGGACGACGAGAATGCTTACGATTGCCCTAGCGTATTGCTTATATTGTTTACACTTATATATACTTCTTTTGTAGTAATGCTTCGCAACATACCTTCACTTCATTCGAATGAATCATGAATATCTCCCCGCCGTTCGGAAAAAGCTCCCTTGTCATAGGATTAGCAGGATTATAGCATACTTCGGCGATGTTGCGTCACATTCCATGGCTGTCTGGTGCTCACATCGGGGTTTCTGAATCGTTAGGCTTCCGGAAAGAATGCGAACACTGCGAGATATCGGAAACCCCTCACCTTAGCCATATCCATATCACGAACAGCAGCAGCCAAGACCAACCCAACTTCAGAAAAATCGTTATCCCTAATATATACATACTCAAGGAAAAAAACACCAAACACTCTCCCAAGCAAGCCACACACCAGAGCAACAAATACACCCAAACAAATAGACCATACATAAAAACAAGAAACCTATCGCCAACCGCAACAGCACCCAAATAACCCTAATGCCCCGATAAAAATAACCCTCAACATTCCAACACATCATCGGCATGTCCACACCACGCGTTTCAAAGACCGACTATACTTTCCTTCTGCCGTCTCTCAACCGCGGCAACCATAGCCCGGACAGCAGTCACATACCGAACCACACATCAGATCCTTTTGCCCTTGGCAAGGGATGCCGGCCACACATCTCGAAGTTTGGTTCGTTACTACGGGGAGCATGTTGCCTGGTGCTACGTATAGTTGGTTTTTTTTTTTAATGTAGGATGTATGTGTATGTGTGTGTGGGTGTGTGGAGTTGGGGAGGTATATATTAGGTGATTTCTACTCTGGTGTTTCTGGACTTGGTCTTGGTTTCCTCTTGTCTGTATAGATCATACATACACCCTGTTTTGAGGGAGATCCCTATACAGTGACGATTCGTTTTGTTTTTCTTTGTAATATCACTACAAGGTATATTTTTAAGAAGATAATCGTGATTGATTGATTGCAACGAAACATGCGAGCTCCTCACCTCTTCATGGCCGCCCTCGCGGCCAACCTCGCAACAGCGGTGCCCGAGGGGGTTCCCAGTAGCCCTCAATACAAGGTTCGTTAAATCCTATCATAACCTATTCAAATGGCGAAGAAAACTAACAAGAATACAAAAAGAATGTACTGCCCCTCCCAACCCAAAGAACCAACAACCTCAATCTTCCCATGAGAGCCAGCCACCCCATGATGCGAGTCGACGAGCCCAACCAGCTCACGCCCGCCCCGGCGGCCCCAACAGACACCCCTCGAGTCGTCACCGAGCTTGTCACCGAGACAAGCACAACCTGCAACTGCGAGACAAGCTCGGCATCGGCAGGACATATCCCACTCAGCAGCCAGGCTTACGGAGCCAGTTCTAGTTCTCGGGCGAACGTGGATGTTGTGCCGAGTGCTTGGGCGGAGCGTCCGTCTGCGGTCGAGTCTAGTGGGAGTGGCAGGGCGACACCTGCAGCTGAGTCTACTAGTGTTAGGGTGTTCGGCCCTGCCTCGAGTGCCAATGTGCCTGCGGCGGAATCTAGCGCGGCAGTGTTCGGTCCTGCGACTACTGGCACGGTGAGGGCTTCGTCTGTAGCTGGTCATGGTCCCGGTCCGGCTTATGCGTCCAGTGAGAGTGCGGGCGCGGCTACTCCTTCGACTGAGTCGAGTGTCCGCGTGTTTGGCCCTGCTTCTAGCGCGAAAGCTCATGCTACGACTCCGGCCTGGTCTAGTAAGGCAGCCTTTGGTCCCTCTTCGAGCGAGGCTGTGAGGGGTACACCTTCGGCTGAATCAAGCGTGCGAGTGCACGGACACACATCTAGCGAGAGTACCAAGGCCACGCCGGCAGCTGAGTCGAGCGTGCGAGTGTACGGACACGCTTCTAGTGCTGATGCGGGAGTTACGCCTGTCGCTGCGTCTAGTGAGGGAGTCTTTGGTCCTGCATCTAGTGAGGCTGCTAAGGCTACGCCTATCGCCGAGTCGAGTGTCCGAGTGTTCGGACCGGCGTCTAGCGCCAACGCGGAGGCCACACCTGTCGCTGCCTCTAGCCAGGGAGTCTTTGGCCCTGCTTCCAGTGATGCCGTGAGGGGTACACCTTCGGCTGAATCAAGCGTGCGAGTGCACGGACACACATCTAGCGAGAGTACCAAGGCCACGCCAGCAGCTGAGTCCAGTGTGAGGGTTTTCGGGCCAGCATCCAGCGAGACAGTCTTCGGTGCTGAGAGCACTCCTTCCGGATCAAGTGTGAGGGTATTCGGTCCGGCATCCAGTTCAACCGTGCACGCTACGCCCGTGGCCTGGTCTACAGTGTTCGGACACACGAACTACGCCTACCACTGCTTCCAGTGGACGGGTGTTCGGTCCTGCGTCCAGTGCGACTCCGTCTCATGCATTGTTTGGTACCCAGGCGGCTGTGCCGAGTGGGGTTGATGCTCTGAGCGGTGCGCCCAGTGGACAGCCGGAGCACTTCCAGACGTTCCAGGGCGCAGCGTCGGAGAAGATGGTACCGGGTCTTGCTATGATGGGGCTTTCGGGCTTGCTGGGGGCTTGGTTGGTCCTCTAGAGTTCTGTCGGGATTGTGGCTATGGGTTAGGGGTTTCATGAAGAGATGACTGTTCATTATGATATTGATGTCATGTAGCTTAGATTAGTTGCTTTATGTAGTCTTGGTTGAGTGTTTATTAGGGCTAGATAACGTTTGCGGTCGTTCCTCATGCCATTAACTTCGTCTCGTCTTTTAACAAGCTTTATGTAGAGCATACAGGATTCAGGAAAGAGTGGTAGTGCGAGCTTGTTGTATTCCCGGAGTGAGCTTGATTTATACGTGGACCGCCTCTTGAACCTTAGGGTAAAGGTTGACCAGACGGTACCATAGGTCCGGGTGGCTTTGGACCATCACCTGCGGATCCCATGCCATGGCTGCGAAAATCGTCTCGATTCCGCTGCCTACTGGTGTCATAAAGATCTGGCAGACCTGTAGGCCGATCACGAAGGAGAATGCCATAATCACGGCGGTGAAGTCCCCGCCGCTGTTGTAGGCGGGGTTGGTATACTGAAGGTACAGATACGCCAGCAAGGCACAGACATACGACACAAAGACCGACCCCATAGTTAAGACAGGTCCGATGAGACAGTCCGTAACGAGTGCGTCCACGCCCCGGTCTTTCATCATGGTCCAGGTATCTTTCGCAGACTCGATGTATGGCTTGCCATACAGGGCAATGTGGCAGAAGGCGTAACGGTTGAAAAAGGTAACTAGCCAATCCAGCATGGAAATGAAGCACCCCAGAATCCAGAATGCGATGGTTCCCAGTAAGTTCCCTTCTGCCGCCTCTTGGCGCTGTGCGACTGAGCACGCCTGCCGGAGCATGTTGATGAGGGCAATGATCAAGCTGCCGAAACTGATGCTGCCGAACGAGTAGGTGGTGGCGCGCTTAAAGGCGCCGCGAGTGGCTCCCTTCGGCATGCCGTTTGGTGAGTTGCTCCAGAAGTACCAGGTTCCGTAGACTCCCGCAATGGTCGTGTGGACGGTGTTCTTTAGCCATTCGCTGAACCAATACATGGCGAACGTCACGTAGACGACCAGACCTATCACTCTGCCCGTACTGCAGCCCCCGCCGTCACGACATGCCGGGTTAACCCCACCGCTATTGGGTTCGTAAGCGACATAGATGGAGACGAGCGTCACAGAAAACCAAGCTCCAAACGCCACGGCGACGATGCCTCCGATGGCACTGACGAGGAACATGTGTCCATGTTTTCTGGAAACATCGATGGAGGTTTCCAACATGAATGCCGTGAATGGAATGCGCGGGATCCAACTGATGAAACATATGATGGCAAAGACGCCAAAGATGAGGAACACAATACCTCCGCCATATTGCTTCTTCGCTAGATAGTAGATCGCGGTGGCCAGAGCGAACACAATGTTCAGAATCCCTGTAACCCAGATGAAGAGTTTAGGAAAATAGCGAGCTCCGAGGAAGTAGGCCCACGAGAAGGCGAGTGCCACGCAAAGTACAAATATAAATAGCACGAGAGTATTGGTGTCCAGCGAGAAGGTGTTGGACGAATCATAGATGCCGCCGCCATTGAAACCTTTGTATTTCGCGTATCGGTGGATGGCTACTCCAGATACTGCAACATATCCCAGGAACACCGCGATGAGCTGCATCATGGGTTAGTCTGATCTCATCGTGGGCAGCAACAAAGAATTATGCGATATCCAGACGTCCAAGAGAGGCGGTAGGAAATAAAAAAGAAGACGTACCAAAAGTCCAGCCCAGATATCGTTAAACTTGGGTTTCTCGATCTTGAAGGCATCGTTAAAACCATAGACGGCCTGGTTATAGGTTGGCGGCGGTTCGTGAGGCGGCTTGGGCTCCGGACCCCTTTGATAGTTGGGATCGGCGTATTGATAGTTGCCATTATTGGGGTTATTCTGGTAGAAAGGTTGCTGCTGCTGAGGCGGAGGTGGAGGCTGGCCTCCGCCAAAGCTTTCGTTTTGGTTATAGTAACTGGCCGCTTGACCGCTCATGGCTGCTGCTTTGAAAAGACCACCAACTGCCGGGAACGGACAAAGCTTGTGGGAGACACGAGGGGGGGGGGGATTAAAAGAAGAGGAAACCGGACAGGCACACCACACAGTCAAGGCACGGCAAGGGGCAGCGAAGATTGCCTGCAACAAAACTCGCATCCCTTCCGCATGCGGGCAGCGAAATTCATGGCTCCATCTCCGAGAATTGGATGATCCAACCAAATGCCTTCAAGGGTTTCCTTCGCGTCATGATGATCTCGCACGAACTGATGCGAGCCAATAACGAGGTTGCACGGTGGGAGTTCCAAGACAATCCAAGAGCACCCAAGAGATCCGCCGTCCTCAGCCCTACTCGTTAGCGTCTGATAGTCGGCCATAGTGTACCACCACTACAACCCTATCGATCCCTGAAATCTCTTCCGTCCAATTTTTTTGTTTTTGAAGAAACAATCAAAAATGATTTATCAATTTTGTTAATCTCTTGAATTGGTCGATAGTTGCTCGGATCTATGTACATGAATAGTAAACAACAGTGGTATCGGAATTCTTATTGAAAGTAGTGCCACAGAAGACGTTTAGGAAAAAAAAAAAAAAAAAAAAAAAGGAAAAGGCGCTCATGCAACATATGTACAATGCATACATAGAAAGATCATCACGAACATGGTCTGTCCATTTCACGATCAAGAAATCCATTGCAATTTGCCAGCACAGTTCCATGCGCAGGCAATGTCAGACCCAAGAATCAGATATCTGACCACAGAAAAAAAACTCCACAACGACGCCCGGCAGCTGGCCGTCAACATGCGTCAATCAGTGAGTGAAATTACAGGTGTAAACATTACAGAATATGAGATGCGTCGGCGAAATTCGCAAGCACTTTTAGGGTCCGAAGACGACGGTGCGCGAGGATGATGGGACAAAAGAACACAACAGAGATGACGACGTAGAGTACCAAATAGTATCGGAACAAGGCATGTTTTTCTCGGGTATCAATAAAAACGATTTCGTTACAAAGCAACCGCAGACCTTCACCGGAACGCATCTTTCATATGACGCCAGCCATCGGCAATGCTGCGCTCAACCCCAGGGACGGGCGTCCGCGATCGTGTCGTCGGCCATTCATCCGTGGCAGCTTGAAGGTAGCCCTTGCTCAAAGCCTTCGACCGTCGCAGCTTCTCTTGCCGAACGGCTGTCCGTCGAGATGCTCTTAGCTCCTCAATGCGGCCCTGTCCCACTCGATGGCGCCGCACGAAACATTCATCCAGTAGAGTATTGGCATCCAGAAGCTTTTTGGGGACCGTTTGGACTACCTGGAAAACCTCCATGGGGTCGGATACGGCGAGGATGTCCCTCTCACATGCCTTGAAAATGGCTAGCGAAGCTCGGAAGAATGTCTTCGATCCTTCGTAGAAAAAGACATCCCAGATGCGCAAGGTCGTCTCCAAGGGCACAGTCCCAATATACAATGACATGAGCCAATTGGTCAAGCCTAGTGTAATATCCGGTAACCGCGAGTCGACCGTTAACGGAGGCGTCTTGGATTTGCCGGGAGCGGAACCCGTGATCTTGTTGTAAATGAGCGGGGTTGAGTCTTTCAGGAGGACCATCAGGATCCATAGATCGATATTAGCACCTTCGAGACTTATCTCGTGGGTGCCGGGGAGGTAAACGGAGGTAATGATATGCAGCATCCAAAACGCCTTCTCTTCTGGGAGGAACAGGAGGAGCAGGCCTGTAATGAAGTTGAGTGATTGCGTGTAACCGACTTGGGGACTGTGCAACGCAAAGGCATAGAGCACGCGCCGGAGCGATTGAATCATTTGCGTCTCGACAGTGATTGAGCCATGCTTCAGGTTGCTGCTACCAGAGCTAGCGCCTGAGTTCCCGATCCCGTCAGTAGATTCAGGCTTGAAGTGGATATTATCCGGGAAAGTTCGGTGCAAGTCTCGCTCGATATGCTCTTTGTCATCGTTGCTTGGGCTTTCCATAGCCTGGTTGACAAGCTGATCATATAGTCCGGGATTGCGATTTAAGTGCTCGTAGCCACCGGCATAATAGAACCAAGCTGCCCCTCTGTACTCCGGAGGAATGCCTCTGCGGACAAGACGCTTGATCTTGTTCGATTTGGGCGGGAAAGTCGTCGGTTCGGTGGTGGGTAACCCATGCTCCTTCAGCAATTCTGACCATTTATTTCTCCGACTCCTGGCAAAAGCCGCATACGGGCGACTCCAGGCTTCGTACTGTTGTAATGTGACGTGGTGACTGGTCTTCCGAAATCCATACTGGTCCCTGCCCTCCGTAGGTTTCAGAAACGGAGGCGGCACGGTGCCAGGAATGAAAATCTTCGTCTCTAGTGGACTGGTATCAGATGGCCGACTCGGTGTGGTCTGGTCTAGGGGCTCGCTGAATTGCTTTTCATTCAACTGCGCGTGGCCCAAGAACTGCTCATCCAGCGTATTCTGGTCGGGTGGGTTTAGTGCTGGGAGTGGTGGTACCGGTGGCAAATCTTCGGTAGCATCTAGTTCGGGCGAATGTTCATCGGAAGTATGTCCATCGTCCAGGGTCAGCTCAGTTGGCGGACGGGGACTGAGCGGTCTTGCTTTGCTTTCTCCACGCCAGTCAGGAGACCCCGGCTCTTCTGTGACGTCACTAAACCCGTCGAGATACATAGAGATCGCATCTTCCACACTCATTCCCCCGTCCTTCTCATACGGTCCATCTGGTGTATCAGGAGAGAGGTCGGTGATAGAGCTACTCTTCGTCAAGACACTACTTCGTTCTGTTCCACTCGCCTGTCCGACACTGGAGCGCGACGTCATGGCGGAGTTCACACTGGAGCGGAGAGCTTCTTCCCCGTTGGCCTCTGCCGATCCATTAGGATAAAAACGTGGTAAGCCCAGTCCCTGTTGTGGGGATTCGTTGGACTGGCGATCTAAGGAATGGAGGGTCTTGGGGGGTCTGTTATGGAGCTTCGACGTCGATTTAGACGTTCTTAACCTTGGCTGAGGAGGAGGGGTCTTGCGACGATATGACGGACGATCCAAGTCGCTTTCTCTCGAGGGGGCTCTGGGAAAGCGTTCAAACGTTGGATTGGCCGTGACAGGTATGCGATACGTCGGCCTGTGAGAGGTGATATCACCCCCCATTCCGGGTTGGGGTGAGGGTGAGCGCAGGAAAGGATCATCCGGAATGGCAGGGGGTCTTCTCGGAGAGCGTGGGAGCGGAAGCGCACGTGGGGCGGTGGCGGTTAACGGTCGAGAAGATGGCGGAGAGGGGGGGTTAATTCTTAGCGGATTGAGACGAAGAGGATTGGGTCCTCGACCACGATTGGGGTTATTGTTATTATGTTCGCCTGGAGACGGCGGATACCGAAAGTCTCCATTTTCTGTGACCATGGCCACGATTGATAACCCAGTTCCCGCTGGACATTTGTCGATAACGAGGTCAAATGGAATGTAATAGGAAGCGAATTTCACCGCTTGACGGACCGATTCAGATATGTAAAGGTAGTTGAGAACAAGAGGCGAACAATTGACAGGGGAAAGGAAAGGCTGAGCGAGCTGGAAATGGAGCTCGGGTGGTCGTAGTTCAAAAACGAATGATATGAGATCTCAAAAGCAGTCAAGCTACCCGACAATCAATCAATCCAATAAATGCGGGAAAAAGGAACGAGCGGAGGGAAGGAAAATAAATCGGAGAAGTTGCCCCAACTAACCACACCGGTGTTTCAATCCATCAAAAGCCTCTCGATCCTACCAGAGGTTTACTTGGAGACTCCATCCCTCATGAGACACAGATAAGAAACTGCGAGCAAAGAGAGCGAAAGGAAAAGAGCGATTGAAAAACCTGAGGGCGCGAAAGCGGAGCGCCCAAGTGGGAATGAAAAAAAGGGGAATTTTGGTACAAAATGAAGCTAACAGCTTGTTTGAGGCTTAGCGCGGTATGGATGGGGTTTCACCAAAACAGACCCTGGTGGTATTTTTCCAATGGGTTTCTTTCCCAATATAAAAACCCTTTAATATTTTCATCGGCTATGATTCGCTGTGCGATTTCCAAGTGACGATCGCATGATATCAACGGCCTTGTTTTATTGATCGGTTTCCTTGTATATCCTCTCGGAACGCGGGATTTCAACAGGGAAGTTGACCATAAAACGGTGGGAAAATGCCATAATGGAATTGTACGTTTGGATGATTTTTTTTTCTCCGTTGCCAACAATGGGTTACATACACCGTTGGAATACCTGTCGCGGCACCTGACCACCTTGGACGCCCGAGTCTTCACTGCAAGGTCAGAGTCCTTCATATCACCAGTTAATATACTAGGAGGCATCCTCACAGTCAGTTCATATATGATAGATCATTACTCTGCATAATAATGACAGGTTATATGCACAAGGTCACTGACAGCCAGTCATGCATCCTGTCTGTCCCACAGCCCACCAGGAAGTTGGAACTGCCCCCAACCATCCAGATTTTGGGTCAATCCTTTTAGGTCGTATCAAGTTAGTAGATGGTGTTCATGTATTTTACAGTTGTTCGTATCTACATCCATACATAGCCATACATCGTATGTGGGGTGTTCGTTCCGTTCCGCCTGGAGACTTGCATGCATCGCTAAGAGAAGTCTCCTACTCCGTACTACTACTAGTAGAGAGGTAGTATGCGCATTTTTGGTCCTAGACAAAACATACCTGCATAAGACGGGTTTCAACTGCAATTCGTTTCGAATTGATGGTATAGAACATTATTCATCACGTTCAGTTCACCTGGAAGGCTTCCCACGTCCATCCACAGATGCCCGAATTAATTCGGTGAATTAGCACTATACGGGAGTGCTCCCGTCGTCCCGACTCCATCCATTGATACTAGCGAGCAGGACTAAAGAATCCCGTCTTAATCTTATTACTATACTCCGTAGGGATATAATGGCCCGCAACCCATTTCCCATTCCCGACAGGAATAGCACACCTGTTCTGAAGTGGAGAAGTGCCGGATTCCGTCGCGAAGGATCCTAACCAGACTCAGATAATTAGCATCGTCCTAACATACTTGGTACTCATCTCTCGCTCCACCCTCAGAAGCCACCAAGAACACGCCGGCGTCTTCCTAGTCCTTCTGAATTCTCGGGAAAGTGGTGCTGCTTGGTGATCTTTTCCGATACTCGACATGAAGACGCGAATCCGCTGCTCTGGATTTGTTTCGGTTGGTTTTCCCCCCTTGTGAGAGATCACTTTACCGTTAGTCACCCTTGCGTCGTCCCGTAGCGGCTGAGAGTGGTGTCTATCAGTCATCACTATTATTGGATAGGGGGGGCGGTTGATTGACTCCTCGCCTTGGTTGAATTGACTTCCAGAAAGCGAAAATTTGCCTTCCAATCTCGTTTCTTCTTTAATTCGGCTTGGCACTTCGTCAGATTGGCTTTGCGTGTTCTCAACTGGAATAACTCGGAATTGGCGTAAATTTTAAAATCAAAAAAGGGTGGGGATAGGCGCAAATCGAAATATAATACGCAAAGGATACGGAGATGAGTACAGGAACAATGAGATTTGCTTAACCGGTAACTGTCCGTAGACTACTGCATGCTTTGCTTTTGCGTTTGCCGGGCGCGTCGTAGTATACCAGACGATGTTCTCCGATTGTACCTGAACGCAACAGATTGGTGGGTCGAAGTTGCATTGGGCGATTCGCTGGTACCCCAACAAACCAACGACATCCTGACAACAGTGCTGAAAGATGACTAAAGATGGCACGATAGCGCTTAGATACTCTCTGACCTTGCATCAAATGTATATTATTAGCTTTTTTAGCTCTGAGAGTGCAGAATCTGCTCGACATTACTTGACACCCATGTTCTTCTGGGGAAACGAACCGAGCGTTTGAGGTTTTGGCTCTCGGCATTTGGCGTGTCCAATGTAATCTATCTGTATCGTTAGTAGAGGCACACAGGTCAATAGTGCACACGCCATACCAGCCTGCGAAGGATGAGGGGAACAATCCAGGTCGATATACATCTGACAAACTGATGTTTCTTCCCACGCATTGCAACGGCGCTTTTTATACCCCCGTGTTTTAGATGCCCATCTGATTCGCTGTTGTCTCCGAACCATTGTTCCATGATGGGCCCCAATGTTTCTCTCAAACACTAAATAACAACACTTCGATGTCCCCCCACCCCATGGTCCCTTGCCCACCATAAGCGGCGCTGGTAACTGGGGCCCGATGTGAGACACTGCCCTGTTCATGCTTGGCGGCCTGCAGTATAGACGCATATCGTTAGGCGCCCGTTGAGGCTACCAGGCCGTGTTTTCTCCGAATGACCCCCGTCACGCATGCATCCTCGATGCATACACAGTACTAGTAATCCATCCAGGGAAATCCGGCGGTTATATCCGATCCACTTCATTTCATCGCCACTGACCTTCCTGTCCGGATCATCGCCCGGGTACTCACCCTTCCGTAAGGTGATACACAAGCGTCGGAATCAGATATCTTGGTATATCGTTCTGTTCAATCCGAGACAAGTAACCCTTGCAGTAGGTCATGTCGATCCGCCTCGGAGTCGGCTGATTTGAGCAATATTAACGTAATCCGGTCATGGTATTCAACCATCTCTGTAAGCCGACTATGATATCATCGGGATTTGATCGCACTGATCTGTTGATCTATGAGATAGTTAGACCAAAATTGATTTTATAGTGCATGGTCAATTGGAAATACAGCAATAATTGATCGCAACTTTGCTCCTTACGGTTACTCCGAACATTATGCCTACTGGACACCCTGTATGGCATACAAGCTACAAACAACTGGTAGCCTGGTACGTTTATACTAAGCATTATCTCCCCATACTAATCGCGATGTATCTACGATTGATCCCGTCAGGGGTACAAAAGATAAACTTGTGTAAAGACCCCTGTTTTCTTTGGATGGTTCTATGACTCTAACCTGAAGTATTCACATGCGGAGCAAGGTAAGACCCTGTCCTCGAAAAGATTTGCAATGCTAATGAATGGCACAGACATCAAATATGAGAACTCCCAAACCTGTTCCTACAGTCCCCCAAATGAGACTTTAGCTCGAAATAAATAATGGCAGTAGCGGATATGTACTCTTGTGTCTTCTTTATTTTCAGCTTGAACGTAAAGCCAGCCAGGTACCTCACCTTTCAAAGATAAAATAGTGTCCGGTCAATGAAACTCCCTCCGAGAGCAGCACCACGGAGTCAAGTCTGGTAATCGCGCTTCCAGATAACCACCCTATGCCATCGCATACTTCCTTGTCCACTCCCGTGCGATTTCGTCATACCGTGCCCGATCATTCTTGTACTGTTCTGCGATACGACCCTCGACAGCATCATCAGGCATGGGCTCTACGAGCAGCTGACGCGCGAACTCAAGCACCGCTGCGATCTTGGAGCTAGGCTTCCATTCGTCGGCCCGCAGCATGCCCAGACACATGCTGCCCTTGTCATCGTTGGTCACATTGGGGTGGTAAATTTTGGTCCCGAACGAAACGGATGGTGGCTTGAAAGGGTACTCAGTGGGAAGACTGAGTTTGACTAGGAACCTGCCATTCTGATTCAGGGGGGTACGGGTCAGGGTTTCACTGCGCTAATATCAGGAGTTTCTTGAGACTTACGTGATACGGTGACCCTTCTGGGCCGTCCATGTAAACCTTCCATTGGTAGATATCTGACTCATTGGCTAGCTCGACAGTAATGCCCTCTGGAGGAGACGCTGTGAGCTCAGCTAGTTCCTAGTAGATTGATTGTTAACCCCTCTGTTTGATGAATAGTTACTGGGAGCTCTGTCTAGGAAGAGACGTGAAACTCGTGCATACCTTGGCTATCCTTTTGCTACCCATCGTTTCAGTTTGTTTATTTTTTTTCAAGGGCCCGAAGAGCAAGTGTAGGAGGGGAAAATTCAAAAAGAGGGCAATAGCTCTCGAATAGACGGAGCTCTATTGGGTCAGATGATGGAAGTCGGGGGATCTTGCTTAGAAGAATAAAGAATACTCCAGAACTGATACACAGTCAAAGAACCAGTGTTACTAAAGATTGACGCAGGGGTTGAAAGGACCGCAAGCGTTAAAGAGAGTGTGTTGTCCAAAGTCGAGTCATCCACCTTCGAGCTCAAGCAGTCGGCGGGGCCGCCGAGCCGATCAGGCGGGGCGGAAAGTTGAATGAATGGACGACGTCAGAGCGGCCTTGCGTATTGAATGTTTGCTTTATTTAGCAGTGACCTTTCATGTTCTCATCCCCTTTTTGTTGGCGCTTATTACACCCCCTCCACCGCAGAAAATCATCTGCGCACAATTCATGGTGGCAAAAGCCATGCGTTCAGTTTTGCTAGGATAGCATATGTGGACCCCTCTGACTATTGTGTACTATTATTGCCGCGTTATTTGCTGTGCACCATGGCCCCAGGGTTGCATCGGTCGTTACTATTAGAGCTATAATTACCCGTCCCCGCGATCCATGCACAGGACCTCGTCTACTGCGTACACAATACGCTGAATCAATATCTCCCAGAGAATAACGACCAAATCTCAACAGTAATCATTGCCGAACTCCAATGGTAGAAAAGGTGCTACTACTCTCTTTGTAACATGACCATCAATCCCATAATTCCAAGGAGGGCTGTCTTAAGCCAGGGGTGCTCGCTGAGCAAAATAGTCACATATCCCACCATGGGGATATACCCCCGTACACTGCCAACAATATCTTCCTCGCGATTGAGATAGTCCTGGCCTCGCGCGTACAGCTCAACATCATCGGCAATGTTGTTGTCGCCCTTAGTAAGAAGCATATTATTGGGGATCGGTGAAGACCTAGACAGACAAGCGGTGATCCGTTAGTGGTGAGATTCTTGTGACACTTAATGCATCAAAGAGAGGCAAGGGCTGGACATACTCGGAAATCTCCTTCACTTTTTTCGTCTTTCCTTCGATTTCTGGGAATGTTCTCACGACGCGATGCACAATGGGGATGTCCTTGCCCCGGACATTGTAGACGACGATCTCGCCTAGCTCAGCTCGCGGGCTTCGATTCCATAAGAAAAGTAGATCTCCTCTTTGGAATGCCGGTTCCATGCTACCGGATAAAACAACTACAACAGGGCTGGAGGATGCGGTGAACACGGAGAGGCCTTTCCACATCATGAATGCAGTAGAGAGCACCAGCGCGAAGTTAAGTGCCTGGGCAAGTGACTGCCGGGCGTTGGATAGATTCGACGAGAGAAATGACAACATTTTGGCGACCTAGTTCGGAGGGATGAGGTCGATTCAATTACCGAAAGATTGAGAATAAAGGTGCTTGTTCAAATCGTTTGTTGACGGTCGAGTTGAGAAACAGCTTGTGCCTGTGATCGCGGCGGAGGAAGCTTCGCAGGTTCGAAGGCGAGGATATTCGCGAGTAATGATGGTATGAAGAAACAACTCTCCCAATATTAATGTCGCTCAGTCGTATATCTTAGCCGTGTCACACTTTTCAACAGGCGGCTTCTCGTGGGTGGTTGTTAGCCGGCTGGGCAAAGGGAGATGTGTCCTTCAATGTTGCCCGTACCAAAAGGCCATGTGGTTCCTGCGCGGCTCTCGGTAACATTTCCGTGCAGACCCAACCGTGCATTTTGATTGGACTAAACCCGAACTATAGTACAACATCCCCGATATGAAAATAATAGTACGGCCAACGGACTTGTCGATTTCCATATTCAGGTTCATGATCATAATTGAGGCTATTTCTATACAGAATGGTATCCGGCGAGTGGCACAGATAAACAAACGAAAACAGAGACAAAACAAGGCAAAGTAAAATAGAATAGAACATAACCCATTTCAGACGCTAGTTGATGGCTGGTGGTCAACCTCCCAAAACTTCTCCTTCTTTCCCGTTTTTGTGACCATACCGACTATATCGAAAGGATCAAACAGGGTAAGTAGGAATGGTCGACGATCCTCGTAACCGGGTCCCTCCACTTCAGTCACACCGTCCGTTGCAAGATAAATTCGGTTTGACCGTGGAAGCCACCGCATGGGATGGAAGACGTTGAGGAGGGTGGTGTTCAGAAACATAATGACTGTCTCAAATACCCAGAAGAACCACTCATCCTTAAGAATGGGACTCATATCATCGATGTTGGTGGTGTTCAGACTTGCAGCTGTGAAATACTCGACAGTTCGGTAGATAGTGCGTATGGTGATGAGTGCACAACTGCAATATAACACATAAAGGGCCTTCTTTACTTTGGTATTCAGAACGCCAGCGCTATGGCAGTTGTAGTAAAATTTGGTAGCTAGAGCAACAAACCCCACCATCAATGCGAGTTGCAAGATCAAGGCAGCTTTGAGTAAAGCCTTGCCTGTATTCTGCGTATTTTGGGGATTGCTCGTATTAGCAACCAATGATGCTCCATTTGCTGTTATAATCTCGATCACAATACCCATTGCAATGAATGTGGTGAACACCCGGCCAGGATGCATTGGAGAATGATAAGGGATATAGTACAGGATACGGCCCAAAGTGAAGAAGTTGGCCCCTTCATAAACAGGACTGAAACTCGGTTAGCTTTTTCAATCACTTACTTATCAAAAACAGGACTTACGGGCCAGCTAAAAGGAAGACGGTGCTCGAAATGAAAACACCCAGATTGTCCCAATGCCCGAATGCCCCAATGGTACGCATCACGAACCCTGCAGTAAAGAGTAAAGCAGACCAAGGTAGTAGGCCTGTTACTTTCCAGGATTTGTATTTGCTTCATAGTAATAAGAATCAGTCTCGAGCTTCGGTGATACAATAGGTCCAACATACAAGCACTGATAACCATGCATTATGCCAGATAATGTGAAAAGAATTGCAAAAGCGATCGGCGCACCTTTATTAGGTGCATAGTACCAGAGGCTTCCCTCCTCTATGTTTGTTAAGTCAGCGATGAGCAGGTGTTGCGAGCAAGTCGGAGGGTAAACATACGGTAGGGCGACCTTTTATCGATCATGGTCCTTAGCTAGCACCGAAGGCATAAAAAATGGATGGAGATATACGATTTATTAATAATTGACAGCGGTTTGGAAAAAAAAGAAACTAAAATGATAAACACAATCTAGATTATTGAGCGTTGTTTAGAAGCTATGGCTATCTATATATCGAAAACAGGTCTTCGAGAAACCATCAACGAGCCACAAGCGAAAACGAGCTGGCCTAAATAGGAAAGTGGAAGTAGTTCTGGCTCTGGTTCATGTTAAGTACAAGCCTCAATGAGTGCCCAATGACACAGTCATCCTCGCATGATCAGCCTCAATCTAGATTGTGGGAGAGGTGGATTTAGTGGGTACCGTTCTTTCTGAGTTAGGTTAAGCAATTTGCCTTACCTAAACCGATCAGTTTCTGGAAACAAGGCTAACTTTGGATGCCATATTTGTTGTCATCTGAAATCGCACTGGAGGCTTATTACGTCTGGGATCGTCAATGAGGATCAAAATATGCTACCGGGCGTGTGCATGGCATATGGACTTCTCTAGTCACTATTTATTCTGTGGTTCCACTTAACGAATACGAGAAGGGCTGAGCCAAGTAAGTGGCCGGAGTAGTAGGCACTAGGCTATCACGAGGCAAGACCTCGTATAGAGAGTTTTTAAGTCTCGAAAAAAAAAAAGACCCCTGACAACGGACAATTGTATGAGGTGTGTTATTTGACGTAACAAAAGTGGTATTGCTTTAGGGCTGCACCTGGGAATGGAGCATTTTGGCCTGATGAAAGGGGCATCCACCCCATTTCGGTTGGTGAGGATAGTTGCCTGGGCAACATGGCACTAACCTAAAGGGGAATGACAGCCTCAGCATGACATCTGAAAGTGGAAACCCATCAACTGCTTCACGTTATCACGATCCGACTAACCAGGCCAACGTGGAGACAGCGATACTAACCCACTTCTTGCTGTCGTGTCTCCTCTTATGTGAACAACCGACAGAGAAGGACCCGCAGCTATGAATCCAGCGAAACCCTCTCAATCGTCACTATTTCAGGTGTACCTCCGCCTTCGTCCGCCCATCTCCCAGCAAGATGACCAGGCTGAACGATGCTTAACAGTCGAGTATCCAGAATCTCAAAACGTCGCTGAAAATGGCCACGAGACTCCAGCTCCAGCGGCAACTCATATTATCCTACAACCACCAAGCGATGCTAGAAAGCGGGCAGTTGAGAAATTTGGCTTTACCAAGGTTTTTGAAGAGTCGGCTTGTCAGTTAAATGTGTTCGAGGACACAGGACTCGATTCAATTATACGGGGAGTGTTGCTCGAGGGAAGAGATGGCTTGGTCGCTACATTAGGTGTGACAGGAAGTGGAAAGGTGGGATCAGACAGAACAAGATATGAACCGGCGCTGACGTCCATGTATAGAGCCACACCATCTTGGGCTCGAAAGCCCAAAGAGGCCTCACCCAAATGAGTCTCGATGTGATTTTCAAATCGTTAGCCTCGACAATCAAGCCACCAGACAACTCTATCAATCCCCTCCTTTTGTCCTCAGTTGCGTCGTCGGACCAGTCAGAATCGCAGATATTCACGGCACAGACGTTTCTCGAAGCCGTATATGGAGATCAAAGTGCCGACCGTGGCAGGAATTCTAGAGCACAGACCCCAATGAGCTCCTCTAGAGCTCAAACTCCTCTGACGGTATGCTTCCCTCCCCAGAGCCAATTGTTCAGGTCCTCGGTTTTGCGCCCTCAAGCCCCCTCTCCAAGTCCTTTTTGTGGCTATAAGGCGGTGTATAGCCTACGCAATGGATATTCCCCAATCTTGAGCCGCCTTAGCCCAATTGTCGCCATCAAAGCGAGCCCTAGACGAATGGTCCCTGGCTTTTCCCCTGCACTTCCATACACTCAGCCTAGCTTTATTGAGCTGAATCGCGCTAAACAATCTCAACACTTAAAGGAGCCGGCGCCTGCCATTATTTTCCCCCGTCGTAATCTGCCCCAGCGACCAAATGTTCCACCTCGTTCGCCCGATGTCAGCCATCTCACGTTGGAACTGAACCCTAACTCTGAATATATCGTACTGGTGTCAATGTATGAAGTCTATAATGATCGCATCTTTGACCTCCTGTCGCCAGCAATAGTTCCAGGCCAAGGAAGTACCGTGTCGCGAGGGGGAACCAGCCAGAAGGACAGACGAAGACCCCTCCTTTTCAAGTCTACTGAAGGATCTCCCGACAGGAAGGTCGTCGCGGGCTTACGCAAAATAGCCTGCAGTACTTATGAAGAGGCGCTGGCCATCCTAGAAGTCGGACTTACTGAGCGCAAAGTCACAGGTACTGGCGCAAACAGCGTCAGCTCCCGAAGCCATGGATTCTTCTGTCTCGAAGTCAAGAGAAGGATGCGCAACAAGAGAACGGGAGAAGAAACATGGATGGGCAACACACTCACAGTAGCAGATCTTGCTGGTATGGTGACAAATAGAGGAATAGCGTCAAGATGCTAATCGTGCTCTAGGCTCCGAGCGTGCAAGAACCGCCAAAACGGCTGGATCTACCCTGGCTGAGGCGGGTAAAATCAACGAAAGTCTGATGTATCTCGGTCAATGCTTACAAATGCAGAGTGAGATACAAGAAGGGAAGGTACGATTCACGTTCACACCTACGAGCGTCCGCTTCTGTCTTGCTGATTATCATAGACTGCTCTGGTTCCATTCAGACAGTGCAAGCTCACCGAGCTACTCTTCTCAAACTCATTCCCATCATCTAACCAGGCATCTGGCCCCAACCGTCACCCGCAGAAGGCAATCATGGTAGTAACCGCTGATCCTCTCGGGGACTACAACGCAACTTCGCAGATCCTGCGCTATTCGGCTTTGGCACGGGAAGTCACTGTGCCTCGGGCTCCCTCTGCAACAGAGTCTGTCTTTTCTGCTACAGTCGAACCTCGCAAGTCTTCTGCTAGCGGACGCTCTACGCCGAATATGGCAACCAGTGAAGAGCTCGACAAAGCATTAGCCGAAATCAACAGACTGAGGAAGGAGAATGAGGCACTTTCCGTGAGATTAGCAGAAGAAGAGATCACGAGAGCGGAATTAGATATGAGACTGAAATCGACAGAAGAAACATGTCTCATAATTGAGCAGGAAGTGCGCGAAGAGTGCTGGGCCGAAATGGATGAGAGGATGGAAGAAGAGAGAAAGAAGTGGCAAATTGCTCTGGAGGAACAGGTGAGCACCTTGACTTGTGGACTACTTTTAGCATCTCGCTGATCGTTACAGGCTGGCCATAACGATGAACACCTTGATAAGAAGATTGAACTACTGTCTCGTGGTTTCCAAGGTACTGTTTCCACTCCTTCCCCTATCCCCTAGATGGTCTGTGATCAAACTAACGGATGCACCTAGTCCATACAGATCCCGAGCCCTCGAGTGATGAGAGGGTGGAAGAACTGGAGTTTGAAATTGACCAGCTTCGCAGCAAAGTTACATCATTGGAACGTGAACTGATGTGCCGGTCTCCTACAAAGAAGTCCAAATCCAAGAATACGCTCGAGCCGTCTCGCAATTCCAATATTCTTGGTCGCGAAAGTGACATTGATATGGCTCTTCAACGAATGGATCAGTTGAAGCTTGCAGACAGCATGTTCTCTCCTGCTCCACCTGTAAACTCCCCCGGGAAGAGGCTAAGAAAGATGGCAACCCGCAAATGGGATTTCGCCCCCGAGGAAGACATCTAAATTCCCTGATGATATCTTCCGCGAACTTGGATTGAAGTTTTGACACGCCCTATGCCTTTCTTCATCTTTCTTTGAGTTGACATATTGGAACGCTTATTCACTGTACATTATATGAAGAGGATTATGGGCGTTATGCTTTGGCTTGTGATTGGTGTTACGACATTTCATGTATAAATATTAATTCTTGTTTATGGTACACATGTTAAAATACCAGCTTTACCGTATACTTCCTCGCACCTGAACGCCATTTACCATAGCAAAATAGAAGCAGATGATAGAAATCGTGCAGCCGTTGGAGTTAACTTTGGGATATCAGTGAAGTCATGGAAAAAAGGCTTTAGAGCTCGAGCGTCTCAAATATCCATTGCCTCGGAATCAGACACATGGTCGCTTTCCTGGTCAGCCTCAGGAGCAGCGGGTTGATCGCCTTCCTCGTCGACATCCATTTGGTTGATTTCGGTCCCGTCAGCTTCGCCATCACCTTCCCCCAGCGCCTCTTCTTCCCCAGCGGCTTCATTATCCTCTTCGTCTTCTCCCTCACCTTCGCCTTCGCCTTCACCCTCTCCGTCAATCTCGCCTTCATCGCCCTCAGCACCCTCTTCTCCTTCCTCTACCATGGTCTCGCCTTCATCACCAAGATCAGCATCTTCCTCCCTATCAACGTCTTCTTCCCCGTCGCCGGGCGTTTCGTTAGCTCCGTCCCCATCAGCACTAGCTGGGGCCGACATTTCCACCTCCGGATCCAAAGATCCCCTATCCTGCAGATTAGGGAACAACAAGCTGCGCTCTGCCGCAAGCTTAGACAATTTCTCATCGTCTATCTCGCTCAGCTCGCTTTCATCATCGGCACTGTCATGCAAGCTATTGGGTATATCACTCTGTTGCCCCGAGGCCAGCTCATCAGCCGCCGCAGCGGACGTATCTGTATCCTTCGCTTGCTCGGGAGCGGAAGTGACTGCGCCGATAGCGTGAGATGGTTCACTTTCTGCAGCGGTCGGTGCTTTGGCAACAGGAGCGCGAGGCGCAAGTTTGCGTTGAACAATTGTCTCGGCCCGTTTCTGGATGTCCCGTCTTGCGATGCCCTTTGTGCGGCCACGGGGTGCCGGGGCTTCGGATGCAGGTGCGGAAGTTGGGGGCGTAGGGGTGTCTGCGGCACCATCACTGGCCATGAGGAGGTGGTCTACCTTCATTTTCTCTTTGTTTTCTTCGTTTGCCTGTTCGATGACGTTGGGTATGTTGACCTCGTATAGGCGGGAGTAGATGTCGGCGATGAGGTCTTCTAACAAGGAGACTTTCATGAGGTTGTTGTTTAACTTCTTCAGCTCGACGGCATCGCGAAGAAGTTCGAGGAGTGTTATGCTCTCTGGAGCTAACTGGGAGAGGCCTTCTAGTCGAGCTGTGTTTGTGACGAATTCATCCCATCCGATGGGTTTGAAGACGCTTTCGTCATGTCCTTCGTTGATATTTCCGGCTTTTCGTATCACTCGTGCATAGGTTAGACAGAGGTCTTCCCACAGTTTGGCATGGTTGATGAAATCGCCCTGCTTTTTCCTGACTCGACGAAGCAGTTGGTCAAGGCTTGCACGATCATCCAGCTGTTCTAGTAGAGCCACAAAGAAATACACGTATCGTGTTGTGTAAACGAAGTGTCTGCCGGGACGCTCATTCTCAGGCCTCCACACCTGGATCGTCATTGTCTTTGTGAATATCTGCTGTGTAAGTTCACCCTTAGCTCCTACAGCTGCGGCAGCGTCCTTGTCATCATCATAAGTGATATGTGCAGCCTAATTCAGGTAAGCCTTGGTTCGCCGCAGGTAATAGTGCAGGTTTTTAGACTTACCCTGGCAGCCATGCGATGATGCCAGTTCGACTTGTCGGCATGCTTCAAGTTTCGAATGACAGCCAATATGTAAGGCTTCCAAGGGGCACCTTCCTCCGGAGGTGGCACCTTCCGTGCCCAAGGAGTGGCCACGAGAGTCTTGCTTCCTTCAGCCGGCTGGAAAGAAAAGTTAATTGCCGCTCACGTATGGTCAAAGCCAAGCCGGGGGGGTGTTGCGTACCGTAACTACTCCTCTATGAACGAGTTTGTGAATAATAGATACGAGCTTATAGTGAGGTTCGAAGATAGGATCCGACCGAGAATCCCTCTTCTGGGGCAGTGCATCAATAGCATCGAGCAGAGAATCTAGGAGATCATCAAGGTGAATATGCCCTGATGTGCCCCGGACGGAGTCATCACAGCTGAACATCTTCCAGAGACATTTACTTAGCATGTAACGAGTCCTAAGTCACAGTTAGTGGCCACATTGTCAGTTGCAGCTAAGGAAAGACATACATCCAACTCTTGGGCTTATCGGGAATGGCACGCTTAAGGAGATAACTGGCAAGGTTCCAGACGGAGTACAACCTCATCTCCTTGAAGGGGAGCGCTTCATACATCTGCTGGTTTTCCTCACTATTGTAATGTCGAGTAAAATCGGAAAGGCTAAAAGCGGCCATGGATAAGGGTTCTCGAGAAGACGAGTACAAGCGGATTCCAAAGTCAGTGTAAAGGTCGGATACAAGTGCTCGAGTCTCTGGCGTAGGATCGGCGTTTCTTGCTGCTGTTGCAACAGCCATAGCATAGCAATGGATTGCATAGCGTTGCCAAGTCACCAACTCTGTCCGGTTGTTATTAATCTTGTCCGCAGACCACGTTATGTCCTCCTCCAGCTTCGAATCGTAAGTCTGGGCAAGTCGATACCATGATTCCCATCTCTGAGTGTTGTGTTCCAGGTCCTGTCTAAACCACGTAATAGCTTCGTCAAGATCAGTGGTTGGAATGGGGTTAAGACGCTTCTGGGAGCGGAATTTGGTCAGCGCAGCATGTCCTAACAGGAAGTACCATCCATTCTTCGCGATAACCGCACTCTCGGTGGGCACCGGGAGCAACGCAAGATCTTCAACTCCCCGAACGGCACGGAAGATCTCAGTTGGGTTTAATGGAGATTTTAAGTAAGCTGTCAGGATGCGCTTATTGTAGGATAATGGAGGCGAAGATTGGTGGTGCCGATGGCTTGTTGCATCTTCTCAATCGTGTACTTCAAGTCAGATTTTGACAGATCCCTGATGTTCATTTTCTTCGCCTGCTTCATGACAAAGTCAATCATCAAAATAGCTGTTGAGCGATCCAGTTTCTCCGAGGGACAGCCATGGTCCTCCAGATAACCATCAACCGGCGACAATTTGATGCCGTGTATGTCGTAAAGTAGTTGACAAATATCATACTCGTAGTCCGCTTTCTCATCCAAAGAGAAAATCTCAGATTTGACAAGCTTAAGAAACTGCTTGTGGGAACGTTTGCACATCTTCCTGATGCCTAAGGCATTGTGCACAGAGCGCAAGTAAAGAATACGGTCCTCGAGGGGTGTCTCGAAGAGCTCTGGGTTCTGTGCAATAGCTTCTCTCAAAAGGGTATAATGAAGGATCCAACAACGGACGTGCATATCTCGCAGCTTATCTCTGAAGCTTTCCAATGACTTTGCCAACGCTCCGCGTACATCGGAGCTAGATAACTGGCCCACACGAACCGAGTCTTCATAAAGCACAAAACTATGAAGTAGTTTTAATACTAGTGTTACTGCAGATAGCGATGACTTGACGTGGTCCATATCAAAACATTCGTATGCTTTGGCTGGCTCCTGTAAAACTGCTGTTACGGTCTTATTCAATATTCCATCGAGAGATTTTAACCAACGGAGCAAAGTGATTTGGCGGTGCTCACTAGGCTCTTCTAGATGTGCAGGGTTCCAAAGTTCTCTCACAATAGTTTCAATACTCCGCAGGTAGCACGACACAACTTTCGGCGTGTAGTCGATCTTCTTGTAAGCGTCTTGTAGCCTCTTCCATAAGAAAAGCCTCAACGTAGCATCTCCTCGATCTAAGAAAGAGCCCATTTCGTGGAGCTGTGATGTCGGTAGAGAATGTCCCTGTTCCTCTGAAGTGTTTTCTTCAACAAACTGGACCGAAGCAGGTTCCAGAATAGGTTCTATGGTTTCGATGAGTCCCACAGGGTCTTCTGATTCAGTATTAAAGATTCTCATGAAAAAGTCCATAGACTCCAGCTTCGAAATCTCTTGGTCAACGGCCTCAATCGATATTTCCGGCATAATTGCGTTGTTCACTAGGCTTATCACTGGTTCCTTCAAGCGACTAAGCAAGTGCTTCAGCTCCTGAAGACAAAGTAACACATGTTCCCGTTCGGCGTCCGTTGTCATGTTCGAATGGAATGTGGATGCCCAGATATGGCGAAGGACAATATTATCCTGATGACTACCGGATGAAGAGTAATCCATGAAGTGGGTGAGTGAAGTACGCGCTAGTAAGCCCCACCGTGCTAGACGATCTTTTTGCTGTAGTCTGATCCCTTGGTCGATTTCACTGTTTGGGTTGTTAATGGAGGCGTATATGTCAAGATGGAGCTCAAATATGGCTTGAATCATCTCGAGATATGCAAAATGATTTGTGGTATATTCAAACGATGTGTCAGCGCTAGCGCCAAGGATTCGGCGTTCAAGACTCTCAACGTGTTCGCTCATTCCCTTGTATATGTTTTCATCCTCTTGTATCAATATTTGCACCACTGTCTCTTTCAGTGCATCTGGCCACTGCAATGAAGTGTATGTAGAATTCATGTTAGGGAAGTTTGAAGTGCCAGATCTGCCGTCCTCTGTAGAAATACGCCCGTAATCTGGCATAAGAAGGCATTTGAGCCACTCCAAAGCGGCTTCACGGAGGTGGAACCATCCTTCATTGATGCTATTCATGAGCATGAGTAGTTCCTCAGTACCGGAGAGAACTTGCTTCATCCCTAGCTTCCGGGCGGATTTCCTGGAGTGCTCTAGGAAGATAGCCAGCCCAGACTTGCCCATCCCTTGAATGTCCTGAAGTGCCGCAACATTATCACACTGGAGTGTCGCCTGAGACTTCCCTTCGTCCCAACCTTTCATAATGTGTCTCAAATCTCGAGGCAGTATGTACTCGGCCTTCCCATTGATTTCACTATCTGGAAGGTCTTTCCCATCGGTAGTAGGAGATATTTGTTTCCTCAGCCCATCAACTGACCCTAGGTCTTCAATCCCGAACTTGGCCAACAGAGGTTCAACCGTACCGAACATCCATTCGTCTGCTCTAATGAAAGCCTCTAGACGGTCTTCGTAGTATTTGTTATGGTCGAACGAGACTTCATCAGCTTGTAATGAAGCCTCTGTGTGTGACTCCCGTAGACGGGTTCTTCTGCTCTTGGATCGAACGCTTTCTGTCTGATCTTCAGCGACGGCCGACGCAGAAGATCGCTTTCGTGCCCCATTGGTCGATGATCTAGGGTCAGGATCGTCGACATTTGGAGTTTCCTGTTGATTAGCTATCTCGGGAGATTGTGACGTCTGGATCTCCAATGATTCTATAAGTTGCTTTTCAGCCCGTTGATCAATAGATGAGTGGTCATCAGCGTGTTCTGCAGTTGAGTCCAGCGCTTCATGCTTCACAGATGGCTGAACGTCCAAGTTGTTATCTTCCTCAGATATGTGGGTGGTTTGCTGCTTCTGGTTGCTTTGAACCTCTTCATCCTGTGCCTTTAATGACTGGTCTTGAACTTGTGTTTCTTTGGTCGCCGTAGCTTTCAGCTCGGGGCTAAGAGCTGGAATTGAAACGCAGACTGCAGTACCAGGGCCTCCACCAAAGTTGCCCTGCTCCTCATCCGTTAACGCTTGAAGGATGGTCTTGCCAAGATCGGCCCATGTCGGTGAAAGAGGCTTTAGATCATGTCGTGTTGTGCTTAAAGCTAGGGGGTTTTTCGACGGAAGGACATCTTGAAGGTTGTCGGGTAATCCAGGCAGATACGGGTAGGGGTCACTTTGGCGCTTGAGAAATTTGAGAAGGGCTTTCTTGGGTTTCTTAATCGGGACTTGGCAAACCGATAGTCTATCTTGCAGCGACAGCAACGTTTCCCGAAGACGTTCTTCTGCAAAAGTTTCCTCCAAGCCTAGCTGTTCTGTTCGGACCTCCAGGCGATTTTCATCATCTGCCAGGACACTTTCTAAGCAGTAGCGGGCTAAGCGATAGCTTTGTAGAGTACTGCAGAGCCTGGCGCTTTGTCTCCAAAGGTTAAGGTCTGTGTCATCACGTTCCAGGGCTTCTGCGAAAGACGTCAGGGCAGTGCTCGCACGCTCAGCAATTTCAGCTGAGAGATCTTGAGTGGCATCTGACGCCTGGGCAGCATTCTCTATAATGGCGCGCAAAGAATCTAGTACGAACTGCCCGTGGTTTTTATACGCAAGATAGATGGTCTGCAGCAAAGTACTGGATGTGGAATCATTGATATCGTAATCTGCTAGCGGTTCACCACCGTCTGCATTACCAACATAGTCGGATGTCTCAGCCAATTCAAGCTCGGTTGCAGCTCTTTTGTAGTCGGAGAGAGATTCTGGGTACTTGAATATTTCCGAACTGAGAAGAGCATCATATGCTTCCGCAGCTTGAGCGTAAAAGAGGGGACCCTGTGAGTGAAGCTTAAGAGCATTTTGGTATAGCTTGAGAGCTTCCTCAATTTGGATTTCCTTAGTGTCATCAACCTCTTCTTCTACCGCCTCGGCGGGCTCGATGTTCAATGCGGCCCAGCTTGCCATGTTGCAGTTTACTCAGGCTGCAGGGAGGTTCCAGACATCGGTAACAATCTCGACGTGGCAGACAGCATCTCCCGAAAAGGGAAGCTAGTCCCTATAGTTGATAAGACTAAGCTGTGGCAAGGAAATGGTAAAGCAGAGCAGAATCCAAGCTGTCCGGGTCTAGCCCGTGACTGGGGACACGCATTTCACGCGTTCCGACATTGGATTACCAAAAGGGGAATAGAGCGGTGCCTGAGGACCCAGCCCGTCCACCAGGCACTGATCAACTGAGGTGACGACGACTTGTTAGTTCCTGTGCCATCTGTCCTTCGAGCACGATTGATGAGTCCGTTGTAGTACTTGGTGCTTTCTGCTTTTCCTCTTGATTTAAGTTCGGCTTGCGCTTTTCCATGCGCCATGGTTGCGCCAGCTGTCCCCGAGTATGCACTTCCCCTCGCTTTACGTGTTCCTGAGACCTGTTATCAACTGCACTCGGGCCACCATTAACTTCTGCGCTGACCCTTGAAATCGCTGTTAGACTCTACGAAGAGGAAGACCTCTTCGCCGCTGTCGATGCACGTACCGAATCACTACAGAACTTGCGCGAATTAGGTCCGCCCGACCTGGTGTATTTGGTCAAACAACCCAAGACCAACTCGACCCGTCAGGTGCGTTTCTGGGAGCCTCCGGTCGCTCATTCAAGGAACGGCTTCCTCGGAGGTTGAATGATGACAATTATTAACGGAAGACGATTATCACAGACCGGAGTCTATCACCATGTCACTGGCATTGATGCTTCTTCGTCCGCTAGCTTGGCCGCCTATGTAAATACGCTAACCTTCTCCCCCCTCGATAAGACGCACAAGGTGGTTTCAGGGATATACTGGTCAGGGCACTTGCAAAGGAAAATTCCATACAGTTAGAGGGGTTAACAGATTTACAGTTGCTACAATGCCTTCTCCCACCTTGACATGCGTGTCGAAGTCAAAATTCCCGGTAGTCTCGAGAGCTACTGCATCGACGAGCGCGGGGACAAACGTGTTGCAACTGAAGCTCTGTGGCTAGAGACATTTCTGTGCGGAGTCTTGCGAGCCTATACCTATGCGGACGATGGTAGCGGAGATTCGGTTCGAAAGATCGTCGGAGTACGTCGATTCAACCCAGTCACAAATACAGAGATGGAGCACAAGTTCATGGATGCTGCGGAACGGCTCTTCTTCTTGGGTATGGCGCACGATAATTTCGATGCGCACTTATACTAACAATGCAATAATAGGTAGGCAGCTGAGCTCCGATCCTGAGACACAAGTTCCCAACACCGTCAGCAATCATCTTACTTCGGGCCTTTTGAAATACATTTGGACAACGGGACGCTACACATCTGGCATAAATCTTCTAGAAAAGCTCCGCATACGGGATGTTGAGGTCTCTTCCCTGCTAGCCCGGGTTCTCATAATGGCAGATGAGGAAGTGCAGGCAGTACGGTTGATGTACGACTCACTGCAGGACGTCCCCATGGACTATGCATTGCTCGACTGCCAGGCAGCCTTCTGTCAGAGTAAGGGAGAGGGGGAAATGGCTTTGGAATGCGCGAAGCGGGCCGTGACTGCTGCGCCTAGTGAGTTCAGCACTTGGGCACGACTGGCCGAAGTGTATGTGAACATGGAACAATGGGATCTCGCACTCCTTACATTGAATTCATGCCCTATGTTTACGTACCAGGATAAAGATACCCCTCGCATGCCCCAACCGTCACGCATCATGCTTCCTATCCTCGCAGAGAGCATGTTGGATGAGATTGATGAGGGCCAGCCAAAGCAGGGGGACCCACACGATTATGTCCATCCTTCTCTACGAAGACTGCACGCTGCCGCATACCAGGGGACATTCCTGAAAGCATATAACCTGTTAACCAAGATTGCTGCCGCTATTGGTTGGGATCAGCTTCTGAAGATTCGTAGTGAAGTGTTTGTTATGGAAGAGGAGTATCGGGTCGAAAGACACCATTCAGCTTCCAAGTCTATACGGCGCAGCAGTTCTATAGCGACCAATGATAACGAAGAACAACAAAATGGCACCAATGCTGAGGAAGAAGATGAGAACCCGGAAGCCACCCCTAGCGAAAACAAAGAGGAGCAAGCTGGAGACTCTATCGAGAAGCCTGAACAAACAATGGCCTCCGAGGTCGTGAAGTCTGGCAAGGAAGAAGTAAGTTACACGTATCGGCAGCATGTAATCTTATATTAATCGCCACAGCCCGACCCGTCGCATTCGTCATACGCACAGTTCCGCAACAAGCGTCTCTGTGAGAGGTGGCTCGACAACCTCTTCATGGTTCTCTATGAGGATCTTCGAATTTACACCATCTGGCGCACGGAGATGGCCCAGTACCGCCAGCAGGCCATTGAATACAAGAAGTCTGCAACAGAATGGGAAATCCTGGGCGAATTAGCAGAGCGACTGCATCATTTCGACGAGGCGATCGAGGCCTACCAACACTGCATGGCCATCCGGTTCTCTCCCAAGGCCATGCGAGGCATTCTGAAGTTGTACGAGAGTAAGCACGATACGAGAGGGATGCTTGGTGCATTGATTAGGCTTATTGCCTGGCAGTACCGCTGGTACTCAGAGGTATGTTTGCTTCCAATAACACTCCGCCGAAGGCATCAACTAACCAAACACAAGTTCTCTCCTGAACTACTCTATCTTATCCGCAAACTCATCGAGGACGAAGGTGCTGTCAAGGTGCGCAGCATTGTCCAGGCGACCAATCTGCCACAGCCCGTACTTGACCTCACTCATCAATATTGTCAACTGTGCGCCACCTTCCGTAGCAGCGGCAGCGATGGTTAAATGTGACCCGTAAATCTCAGTGGTTGGGAGATAGCTACCCACCAGCAATGAAGTCTTTAGCAGCGGAATTATATTTACGTATACAGGCAAGGCATCGTTGGCGGAATGGTTATTTATTATTCTGATACCTTCCCTCTTCTGTGGCCCCCTTTCCCCTTTTCTTCTGTGTCTTTATTTTATCATTCATTTTCCTTCCTTCGGACACCCTGTTTCAACAACTAATTCCCATAGAACCAATTTATGCTGTATGACTTTTCTTTTCTGGTGCATTTTAAGTCTCCCATCTGGCTATTCGCCTCCTAGCATTAAATAAATGGGTTATCCTGAATCATCGCCACATGCGACGAAAGAAACTCGTGGAGATTGGGGACTTTGTTCTATCTCTCCTAGTTCTCGAGTGGAGCAAGTCCAATTGAGCACATCTGGAACCCTCGGAGGTTAAGTTGTCGGGCCATTTATTCCATTCTAGCAGAGATATTAAAGGGCGCATCTTATGATAAAAGGACAGCCAAATTGACCGACCGATTCCTTGAACAAATATAAGCTAGCTAAAACAGTACCCTGAGTCCAATTACAGCCGGAACCAAATTATTTGACGTAAAGATTACAGCTCCCCAGGTCATGGGACATTCACTCGTTCTCCTCTTCGACTCCAGTGTCGACTTCAGGTTCCTTCGGAACAGTGTTACCCTTGGCCTTGGCTGCAGAGGCAGCAGGGCCACTGGTTTTAGCTGTCTCCTCGGGCGCTTCTTCTTCTTCTTCTTCCTCTTCTTCTTCCTCTTCCTCTTCCTCTTCGTCGTCCTCTCCGACTCCGTTTTCACCGGCCTCTTTGCCGTTTGCTTTTACTTCTTCCTCACCTTCTTCGTCTTCAGCCGGAGCTGCTGCTGTCTTGCGTTTCTTGGTAGCAGGGGGGCCTAAAGGTTCTGCATGTCAGCTTGTGTTTCCTGGAGAATAGTGTATCTAGGCGTAGGAAGAGGTGAAGATCGGAAGGAGGCAGAGTAATTGAGAGAGATAGAGAATAGACAAGCGCTTACCTTGCTCTTCAGCGGGTTCTTCTTCCTCTTCCTCTTCTTCATCGGAAGGAATCTCCTCTTCACTTCCTTCTTCTTCTCCTTCGCTCTCGCCTACTTCCGAGTCCTCATACCTGCTCATCACCAACGTTAGTCGACACGTTCTCTCCCAATGCAGGGGTAGACACGATAGACACAATGCATCCCAGGCAACAGGATTAATGCGCCAAGCCAGACAGTACGACGAACAGAAACCCAAAACAGACGAGATGATGGATATCCATCAGGCGCACCAAAGGCGACAAAGACGTGAATGACGACAGGATGACAAGGATGGTGAGGAGAATGTGCGTGGATAGATGCGCCGATACGCATAGATGAAGGGATAGAACCGCAATACAACTTACTCTTCTTCCTCTTCGCTCTCGTCGCTAGGGAGCGCCTGGAGCTCTTCCTCTTCCTCGGCTTCTTGCTTTCTCTTACGGGTGGACATGATGTATTAGGAGCTAAGTAGATTGGGAATGGATAGAAGAGATGAAATGTGAATTTGTGATAAGAGCCTAGTCAATGGCGCGTGTCTATCTTGAGAACACGGCTGATGCGCCGTGAGAATAGAGAGGAAAGAAGGGAGCAAGAAAGGGAGGATGATAGGTAGGAGAGAGGGAGAGAAAGGAAAATGGAGGGAGAGGGAGGGAGAGGGCGAAATAAAAGACAGAGCAGATGGGGGAGTCAAGTACTACCCACGGCAGCAGGAGGGAGATTAAAGCCTCAGTCGGCGAGGGAAGGGGGGGAATGGGACGGAATGGGTGAGCAGTAGGCCTGTTACTTCAGCGATTGGAGGAAAGGAGGGCGAGAAGGAGGGGGGGGGGAAACAGCCAAAGCTTCCGGTCAGCAGCGACCTGGACCTGGGCAAAAGGCCCAGCAGAGTTAAAGTGAACCTGAGCGAGAGAGCTCCCGCATTTGTCGCATGGGAGATTATCGGAGGCCGTCGCTTTAGGATGTCGCTGATGTGCACATAACGGATGACCCCTTGTGACGATGCTTGCACTGATCTGGTGTTGGAAACAGGATTGGACCTTGCTCCTGTGGCGGAGTCGACATCTCAACGGACCCCTGCAGTCCCAGGGACCCCCCAGGCTTTGTTAGCGAAGTCAAGACCAAGAGGATCTGGAGTAAGACGGAGTGAGTCTGTTGCAAAAGTGACGGCAAGATGACAGATCAATATCAAGGTCAGGAATGTTTGGTAATGTGATACTGTAACCATGCCCATGTCCACCACCCCAGATGAACGGAACGGTTGGTCGGCGACATACTACTAGTTCTAGTATTACAGGCACTGAGTGTGTTCAGAGTAACCAGCCCGTGGCAATATTGTCGCATTAGCCGCGATAGCAACCATGATGTCAGGAATTGAATTTCTTCTCATGCTCAAAATAGACTAACCCCAAACATGGCACCTCCGGAACTAGTCCCATTCGGGCTCAGTGTCTGGTGCACGGATGAAAGTGCTACTATTTATGAATTCCCCCGGATGATTCGCGCGCATCAACAAATAAACACAGACTATCCCAGTCCTAGCGAAGCATAATACCATTAGCTAACGAGAATCACGCCTAGCAAGAGTATATCCAGATACATTAGTATATAGCTATGTACGTCTCCCTCTACCCAGGGTATCAACTATCTACAAACTACTCTATCAATGCGCCAAAAACTCAAAGTTGGCCATGCTTGGGTCTAGCAAATTTTCATCCAGTCCAAATCCGTATGTGCCCACCATGTCATAGATCAGATCTGGCGGGGGAAATCCTTGTGCCATGGCATTCGCACCGCCTGGGACCTCACTGCTACTTCGATCCGCCGGTCCTCCAACTGGCGGTCCACCTTGCCACGCGGTCTCCCAGGAATCAAAGCGATCCAGCATCTTCCCCAAGCCACGCGCAATATGCCTCGTCAGATGCCTTTCTCCCGCAGAAACACAGTTCAACAGCTCGATGACGCGTTCCACTAACCGCCGCACCTCACGTCCATCCAGGCTCAGATAGGCCGAGTTCCAGTTGACCGCGACCTTCAGAAGGAACACTGCTGAAAAAGTGACCATCGTATGCGTAAAGATGGGAACGCCCACGATGGCGTCTCGAATGTCCGGCTCCTCGAGCACCATATTTAGACAGGCCATGGCGGACGAAATAGCGATATTAGCGGACTCTTTGCGGTCCATGGAGAAAACAGGTGTGTTGGACGGCGACAGGGCACGAAGGGAGAGTGAGTTTAACTGGAATTTGGCAAAATGATAGTGCAGCACAACCCCCTTCGACGGGTACGTCCGCACGTAAGGGCTATCGGCTGAAGTACAAGTGGTGGTCAGATATTGGCGCCTTGATGGTGGGGGTTTGACATAACTTACCTGATCGCGGCTGCCAAAGAAGCCGCCATTGATCAACCGCCACATTGTAGACTCGTAATTGGCCGAAGTCTTCCTCTGTCAAAGCCTGCTCGGTGTCGCTTCCAAACATGCGATAAGCCTCTGTCAGGATCATGAACAAAGCCACCTGTGCCAGCAGTCGGATATCACCAGGTACAACCATGGGAGACTGCAGGAAGGTTTCGTAGTTCTTGATGGCTGTATCTTCATGTATGACCGGAGGTCGGCCATACGCAATACTGAAATGATGGTCGCAGACATAGAGTAGATACCAGAGCTGCGCGCGCTCGTACTGATCACTATGGCCCCGGGTCATTTTTTGATAGCTCTGGTGCAGACCAAGCTCCGTGGCAATACGAACAGCATGTCCAGAGAGCTTCCAGCTCAATTCTGATAGCCAAAATGCTCCGACGCAGAGGCCACGAACATCATCTAACGTGTGAGCCCGCGTCAGGGACATGCTGGATACAAGAGATACATATGCATGATAGCATCGGTTTAGAGTTTCAGTACGATTGGGGATATGAAGTGCAGCAACAGTGAGGACTGCCGCAGACAACAAAGTCGATGCTCGTCGCACTGACGTGAGGTCCCGGTGCACCAAGATGATCCCTCCCCAAAGGAGCTGGTTCATGGTCCGGCTAAAATATGCAAACAGTTCTTCAGCCTCATGAATAGAGAGCACTCCCCGTGAGATGAAATCTTCCTCTAGCAAGGTTAATTTAGGTTGTTCGATGAGGTTGCTCCGTAAATTACGCAGCTTAGTGACTTCGTAAAGACTACGCATCGGTGCCGGCACCAATTCTCGGTCTTGTAGGTCTGGCTCTTGAGAAGGCTCCCGAGTTACATCCATAACGACACCCGGGCCGTGTTGACTCGTGTGATTAGAGATCGACTGCGATCCATCGAGCGAGGGTCCATGCTCATGATGGGACGCGACTGGACTTGGGCCATTTTGCGTATCGCCTGTTGGATACGATGAAAGCTCAGGTAACCCATCATGGCGAAGGAGATGCGAAACAGCTGCCTGAAGCTGTTGGATACTGGCTGCAGCCTGGGATTTCCATCTGACGCAAAGATAAGAACAATAACTCAGCGCTATATCGCTTGTAGGCGTAGAAGACTACTCACATGCCATCATCGTCAACAAACTTTTGCGAGAAGTCATTGACGACGCATTTTATGCCGCTGCGTATGCACTTATTGCAGCTCGTTTCCCCCAATTTGAACTCGCAGCGTATCTTATGACGTTTGCACTCCGCACCTGAAATCCATTGTGTTTTAGTATGAATCCCCTCTCCCTGGGCCTCAAGCGACTTTTTCGCTTTGCCTCATTATAGATCATCTTTTCGGTGGTTCAACGGGGAACAACTCACAGGCGCGGGCTTTGGAGATCTTCGGTGGTAGAGGTCGTCCGTCGGGGACAGTGGAGGGATGGCGATCTTCTCGTCGGGGCGACACCAGGCCCGCATCAGAGGACGAGCGCTTCATAGCTGGTAAATGGCAAATGGGTAGTTGTGACTAAGAGTGAACAAGACTGGTCGGGGATGCTCCGGCATTATGCA